TTTATTTTTTAGTAGCATCGAAGTAAAAGAGTACAAATAACAATAAACAAAAATATATTGTTATAAGTATATTGTTGCTTATACTTTTTTACTTGTATTTTAAGTAAATTTTAGTGTAAAATGTTACAGAATAACCATTTTTTAAATAATTTAGTTAGTTAGTTATTCAGTTAGTGAAAAAATGTGTAGCAGAAAAGATGGTTAAAAATAGTTAGTTTCTAAAAATTGTTGTTTTTTTTCTTTACTATTTATTTAAGAATAATAAAGTTTCTAGGGCTAATTTATTATATAAACAAATTAATAACAATGTCTTTTTTTATGACAATTGTCTTTCCGGAATGTCAAAAAAATAATAAAGAATTCTGTAATGGATTTACAACATTTTTTTTGTAACAATTCTCTAGGAATTCTGTGATACACGAAGAACAATATTTACCTAAAACAGCAACAAATTTCACTATATTAACGAAATTTTTAGTTGATTTAATTAATTGTTTCGCTATTCTAGGGAAACTTATCGCTGTTTCGAGTAAAATTTACTTTACGTGTACGGTGAATTTTTATAAACATAATAAATTCTTATAAACATTCCGTAACAAATCTGTAACTTTGGTTTGCAAAATAAAAACAACAGTTTTGTAGTAAAAATAATTTCAATAATACTTTAATAATTTATTAATAAATGTTGCTGGAGAATTCTAGAACTGAATTTTTGTTGTATTTTGTTACATTATGTTATATTACATTTTCAGAGAAATAATTTTACTTCTCTCTAAATCTAAACTAATGAAAATTGAGACACTACTCTCTAAATCTGTTTTCTAAATTTGAATTAGTGAAAATATTTACTAATTTGAATTGGTGACTGACATTTTGCTTTTCAATTATTAAATTTTACTAATGAATAGTAATTTTTACTAATTTATTCATTCAAATAGCAAAATTTATTAATTCAAAAACAAAACAGTCAGCCACTAATTCAAATTAGTAAATATTTTTACTAATTCTAATTTAGAAAGTGAATTAGTGAAAAAGTCGTTCACTAATTTAAATTATTAAAATAAATAATAAAATAATATAAACAAATACAAACAAGTATAAAAACAGATTTGGTGTCAAAGCAGTAAGAAAAATGTGAATGAACGAAAAAATATTTTTTAATGGTAAATGGTTTTAAATTAAAAATAGAAGGAAGAAGAAATTAATAAATAGAAGAAATACAAAAAGGGCATCAACTCTAAATATAAAACTCTAATATTTGAGTCTTCATTGCATGTTGCATCGAAAATAATTAATAAAAACTCATTTTAGTATTACCAAATTAATCTGAAACTTTTAATTAAGCTAAAAATTATCACAAACATAGCCTAAAAATGATCGACTTCTTAGGTATGTACCTGTCTTCGAAGCGCGTCACAAATTATATTTAATACTATTTATTTATTATACCCAGTTCGTGCCTTTAGGCCATATGAACGAGCTTCCGATGCGGCATTCTCTTTTTATACATTTCACTTATATATACTTACAATTTTGATTAGTAATCTATAAATTATTTTTGTATAAAAATTAGGCTAATGGAAAATTTTACCAAAATGACCATTTGACCAAATTATATTTAGAATATTTGAAAATGAAAAAATGAACTAAAAATTATTATATTAAAGATGTTTAAGCACAAGTGACGTCACAGAATGTGCAAAGCATGTGTTTTAAAAATGACGTCATAATTAAAATGCCCTTAAAGAGAATAATATAATAATAATGTAATAAATATAATTAAATAAAAAATAAAATAAATTTTATAAATAAGATAATTTAGATAAACTATCATAATATAAATTATAAAGACAAAATTAGAAACTTGTTTTCTCTATTTACTTATTTTATTTATTTCCAATTTTAGTGGTTTTTAATTCAAAAATTAGGCTAATGGGGAATTTAAATAAATGACCATTTGGTGAAATAAGATATATAGATTATAGGAAAATTGACACGCTGAAGAATTATGTATGATTAATGAATATTAGGACAGATAAGGAAGCTTTTCGAAAATTTGAGAAGATGTGTCTCGATATTTTAATAAAACAAAGTTTTTCCATTAAGAACTTTGTGAAAGAATTTCTTCTAAAATTTGTAAAGATGCGTCGCAGTGTGCACATTATATTCTAGAACTATTTTTGATCCCATAAGAAAACAGTGTTTTGAAACAACTCTTACATTTTTATTACAGAACAATTTTTAGAACTCTGTTTTAGATTTACACCATCACATTTGTTCTGTACCTGTTCTATAAAAAAATGTAAAATATACTTTTCAAAACTTTGTTTAAATTTAGTACTATTAGAATTTTATTGCTATAACAATATGTGCTATACAATGGAAAAAATTTATTTGATTCAAATAGATGATTAGTTGTCTATTAAAAAGAAATATTTATTTTTGAATCAAATAATTTTTATTTAGATTAAATAAATTTGAACTAATAACTATTTGAATCAATAATTTCAGTATTTGAAACAAATATACCATTTGATTGATTTAAATAAAATTTATTTGATTCAAGTGGATATTTATTTGGTTCAAGTAAATATTTATTTGGTATTAGACAAGTAACCGGTTATTTCAATAAAATAAATTTTTTTTTTTGGCTTAACAAGCATAATTTATTTTTTTAGAACATCTGTGTTATAAACTAGTTTTTAAATTTAGTGGTAAGATTATTGTTACAAAAATGTATAATAATAGTTCTAGAACCATGTTTAGATTTAATCTATAACATTTGTTCTGTATTTGTTTTGTATCTTTTGGGACATCTTCTCTAAATTCGTTTTTAAATTTTGAACTCTTTAAATTTGAATTTGAAAAACTCCAGCAACTAATACACAATACTAAGAATTTTGACGAATTTTTAGTCGTTTTCACTAAAACTTTAGTAAAAAAAAAAAAAATTTAATCTATTAACAGCATGTGACTGTTAGAAATTTAATGGTAATTTTTTCGACCACTTTTCTCTTTAAATATTTAATAAATAATTGAGCTGAAATTTTGTAAGAAAGTCTTAAATATAATAAAGAAGAGCAGTGATGTGCAAAAGTTTTAATAATTCAAAAATAAATTATAAAAAAACACTTTGAAATCGGTAAAGACGAGAAATTGATTAGAAGTGACCGTGACAACTGATAATTTTAAAGTAATTTGTAATAATTAATTTTAAAAATATAAAAACTTTTGCACATCACTGCCCTTCTTTATTGTATTTTAGACATTCGTACAAAATTTCGGCTCAATTTATTAAATATTTAAAGAGAAAAGTAGTCGAAAAAATAGTGAAAATTTTCACAAATTCTCAGTAAAATTTTAATATTTCATTTAGAAGTTTTAAATATTTTTCGAAAGTTTTATTGTATTTATTTTATTTTATTATTTATTTTATTAATTTAAATTAGTAAACGACATTTTCACTAGTTCATTCTCTAAATCTGAATTAGTGAAAATATTTAATAATTTGAATTAGTGGCTGACTTTTTATTTTTGAATTAATAAATTTTGTTAATAAATTAGTAAAAATTACTATACATTAGTAAAATTTAATAATTGAAAAGCAAAATGTCAGTCACCAATTCAAATTAGTAAACATTTTTACTAATTCAAATTTAGAGAACAGATTTAGAGAGTAGTGTCTCAATTTTCATTAGTTTAGGTTTAGAGAGAAGTAAAATTATTTCTCTGAAAATGTAATATAACATAATGTAACAAAATACAACAAAAATTCAGTTCTAGAATTCTCCAGTAACATTTATTAATAAATGATTAAAGTATTATTATTGTTGCTGTTGTAGGTAAAAATTGTTCTTCGTGTATCACAGAATTCATAGAGATTTGTTACCCAAAAAAGATTGTTGTAAATTCGTTACAAAATTCGTTATAATTTTTTGCCATACCAGAAAGACAATTGTTATTAAAAAAAATACATTGTCATCGATATTCGTTATACAGTAAAGAAAAAAGACAATAATTTTTAGAAGGAACTTTTATTAACCAACTTTTTTGCTACAAATTTCTCCACTAACTAAAATAACTAACTAACTTCATTAAAAAATTTTATTCTGTAACCTATTAGATTAAAAATTACACAAAATACAAGTAATAAAAAAACGGAAAAATGCCTTAGTATTTTTTCGGTTTTTTGTTACTTGAACTTTTTTACTGCGATGCTGCTTAAAATAAATTAATAGCATTTTTAATTTCGTTAATGTTATAAAAATAAAATAAATTTAATTTTTACTGCTATCCATAACAATATATTTCGAATTCAAAAGGAAACAATCATTTTAATTTGTCCCATACGTCACGCAGAATTTGTCCCCAAAATAGCATGATCCACTCAAAAATACAATGTTTGTTTTCATTCCCTCATACTCCCGCGCAACTGTAATAATCTCCAAAAGCCGACCATCTGGTCAGTTCTACAGGATTTTCAGGACCAAATAATATAAATCGCAAGAGATCCCCCCCTTTCAATTTCCAAGAATTTTATGTCCATAACGATTATTAAAGCTGAAATGCGGGCAAAATTGAGTCTTTCTGTATTTGTCGAACGTTATAAACTTCTAAGCGAATAAAACAGACTGTTACTGTTACCCTCAAATATTCCACGCATCCCTTTTCTTTTTCTCCATACATCACTCTATTCGCTTCATCTCATTTCATTCATCAGAAAATGATTCTTTCTTTTTTCTCTCTTCCTGCTCATTTTGTCTCCTTTATTCCCGGGCAATTCGCATCAGAAAAATAATTTGTGCGAAATAAGATGGTGCGCCTGTGTGTTTGTTGCCGACCATATGCCGAGGGACGATTTTCAGAGCCCATGGGTAATTACAAGGGATGCTCCATGGAGCGTTCGAGTATTTTTTAGGGTAGGGGTAAAATTTCAACGGTGGGGCGCTTGTCTATATAAGAGGAGATGCTAACCTTCAAGGGTCACAGTTTGCTTCGAATTTTTCGTGCGCGCACATGCGACTCACTTCAAGGTTTTCTTCCATTCTCCTCCCTCTCTCTCTCTGTGTACTATTCTTCAAAACATCTTCACATTCGTTCTCCAGCATTGGTGTCTTGGAGGATAAGAAGAACAAGTTGGTTTCTCTTAAATGTTTGTGTGTTTTTGGTGAAACATTACATTATTGGATTACATTACCAGTGAATATTGGATAAACAATTAATTTGAGGAGAAGAGAAGTGTGTGTGTGTTTAACAAAAATGACCATGGAGATTCAGTTGATTCTATTGAGTTTGTGTGTGACCTTGGCTGCGAGTATCGACCTTGGACCATACATACGGATCGCGCAATGCAGATCTCAATGCCTTCGACAATACAGTGTGGATGGTACATGCGATGTACTCTCAAGTTCGGATGAATATCTCTGCCGAGAGGTAATTTGATTTTCATTTCTTGGATTTTGTCCTCCGAATTCCAATTTGTATTTTTTATCCTAATTTTAATTTTCCGAATTGTAATAATCCGATTCTTTTTATCCTAACCTTTAATTTTACGATTTTTGTTTTTCCGAATTGTAATCATCTGAATTTGTTTATACAAATTTTAATCATCCGAATCCTTTTATCTTAACTTTAATTTTACGACTTATTTTTCGAATTGTAATCAGTTTTCGTATGTTTGGTTTGGTTGCAAACAATTTCCGTTGTTGAATTATTGAAAATACTTGTACAATATTCACTGTAGGCAGTACCAAAGAATTATTTTACATAAAATCTTTGTTGTTCGAATTTATTTGCAGTAATTAATGTTTAAAACGGATTGTATGCTAAGGGTACTTGTTGCTTCATTAATTATTCATTGCTCATTACTCTCAAGTTCAGATGAACATGTTTGCCGTGAGGTGAATAATTTTTCTTTTATTCTTTTCTACTTTTAAACCTGAATTTCTTGATTTTATTATTCGTTGTTTTTTGAAATCGTCTAAAATCGTTTGAGCCTGAGAGAATCAAAATCATTTTCAATAAACTTGAAATTAATCAGAAGCATCTTTAATCTTTTGAAATCATCAAAAACATCTGAAATCGTTTGTGTCTAAAAGCAATAAAATCAGTTAAAATCGTTTGAATTTGGATTTTTAAAATCATCAAATTGTTCAAAACAAGTAAAAATCAGGTTTATGTTTTAGTTTTTTCTATAATGGATTATAAATTAGTAGTAACAGATTACTACTTGCAGATTTTGATCTTCTGCTTGTTGTACCTGCAGTTATTGTTTTTTATTTGTTATTCAATCAAAATCCTTTGATCTTCTGTTACTGTAATTGAGTTTGTTTTGGTTGCATCATTCTTTTATTGAATTTTAGCTATTCTACTCAGAGAGAAATTATGTTTGAATCAAAAACTATTTTGTTATATAAACATTAATTTTAGGTTCAAGAAACTTTATTTAACATAATCTATTATTAATAAATAACTTAAAATAATATTACATATTATTATTTAATATTTGTTTGATTTAAATAAACAGTTAGTACAATTTAATACATTTTGCATTCGAATTATTATCTAAAGCAAATTTTTAGAATTCAGTTTCAGCAATAGTTTTACAAATTTTGTAAGTTGCAGTAAGTTTACAGTGTTAGTAAATGCATAGCAAAAGTAATTGATTCAACCAAAATTTTGTTGCTTCAAATAAATTTTCTTTCTGAATGTAAAATAGAAAAACTAGTTCCCACAAAAAATCAATCTGCGGAAGTTGATGGAATTCTTTCCACACCAGTTTCTTTATATTGAATCACTAAAATTCCGAAAAGCATACCTTTTTTTAATCCTACAAAAGTTCATTTTTTACAGTGTGTCCAAACTGAAAAAGAAATAATTTACAAACTTGTCATTCTTCCTTAAACGAGTATATTTGACAAAACCATCAATATTCCGAAACTTCTTGTTGTACATATACACATCTCTTTATTCTCCATCTTTGGCCAACTTTTCAGACACAATATTCTCTCGGGGGCTTCTTAAAGGACAAAGTTTCCGAGTAACTTCTACGAAAGATTTTCTTCTTCCTCGACTTTCTTTCTCGCTCTTTTTTCTTTCGTTTTCTCTCTCTTTTTCCTTTTTTTCTTGCTCTCTTTTTCTCTGTCTTTCTCTTTCGTGTTCAATAGACTCTCAAGTGGTATTGAGACCGCCATTAGAGCAAGGGAACTGCATGATCCTCAAATATAAAGTAAAGAGGGCACATCTAACTGTCAGAAAAAAAGAAAAAGATAACCGATCTTTTCAAAAAATCGTCTAGGGGATGTATCATTGGCGATAAATCTTCTCTTCTTCTTTTTTTTTCCCTCGGATTTTATGGGGCGCCGTGGAAAATCATGGTGGTCCCCCTCCTTTGGGAAGGAGACGCGCGTTCAACTCCGCAAGAGAGAAACAGATTCAGACGGACAGATGGGGAATCACGATTAATCCACACAATGGATGCGAGAGGCTTACATGTGAGGGCGTTGCTCATTTGGCGCGTAGATATATACCGGGGTGTCCATTAATTCTGGGAAATCGATTTGACTAACACATGAGTATCATGTTTATCCACATGTATATACTCTCTCTTGCTCTCTCTATTTCCTCTCTCTCACTTTCTTTCTCTGCTTGTAATGGTCCTTATTCGAGGGAGAGAGAGGGGAATAAGGACCATCATCATGAAACAAGCGGACACATTGGGAGGTACAATATATGTATATTGTGGAGATGATCTATTCAAATTTATTCTCGTCTCTCTTTTAAGGGTCCAAAAACCATGCCCCCTTTAGGATACGTTGAAGTCATACTTTTTGAAAAGGGAGTTAATAAAGTCTATCTCAAATCGAAACACGCGCGCAGACCTTCTTCTGATAATGATGCTCATCATCCACGACATTCCAAAGTAAATCGTTTTAGTGTTTCGACTGATCTGGTTTTTTTCTTTCTCTCTCTTCCTCTCTACTAAATGCCCCCCTTTTTTATTTCGTTTCGCATTCCTAATTAGGTTCCAAACGATCAGACGTAATTATCACTTCTGCGCTCTATATGGAAATGTAAATTTCGCTTCATTAATAATCGTCCTGTCAAAGGGGAATATTTTTTTTCGTTTACGATACTTGCCACCAGGTTATCAATTTGGCGCTATCAGTGAATATTGCCTTCATTCTGTAATTTGGTTTTTTTGGTTTATGCAGAATTTTTAAATCATATCTTAACATTTAAAAGAGAGAAAGAAGAATAGAAATGTTTGCCTTTTTCTATTCTTTTACCCTCTCTTGTAAAACTCTGTTTTCGACACTAATCTCCTGGGACTTTTTCGATTTCGAAAAAAATACTTTTCGGAGCCAAATTCAGGGGGCAATTTTTAAAAAGAAAAAAAGGAGATAAAGAGAGAAAATGGACCCTTACTGACAATTATTATTATTCCCTATGGATGCAAAAGGGGAAATGTCGTTAATCTGATGTTTATCGAGAAGAACGTCGACGCCCCCATCGATAAGAAATATCGCAGCTCGTAAATCGAGTTTCCCCAATCCATGAAATCGATGACCTGCACTATACGTGTTCGCGACACACTCGGTTCGGGTTACAACCCGAAATAAATTGTAATGGTAAATTCGAAGGGTTATACTCTCTTTTTCCTTCTTTTTTTCCACAAAAATAAAAAGCCTTTCGAAGTTGCTCTCGAAAAAATAAACCGTTCGTGATTGTTCTCGCATTCCGAAAAGGCAGCTGCCCCCCTCTATTCTCTCTTTTTTTTGCCTTTAAAACATTTAAACTTTCGGGTACAATTCTCCTTTTCTTGTTATTCTGTAACAAAAATTGTACAGCATCGAAATTACGAAACGGCTTTTTCTTTTCTTTTCGAAAGTAATAATAATCATACAATTTATATATTGCCACAAGGTTTCAATTAAGGTAATCGTGGAAGACATCTTCCGGAATGATCAATGTTATAAGAAACAAAAAAACATTTTTTTTTTTTTTTTCATAAGAAAGGCATGAAAAAAAATACATTAGACGCCATTAGAGGAATTATTCGTTCCTTAGGTTTTAGACCCACATTAAATTAAAAAAGAAAGAAGGAAAAGAATAAAAAAAGAAGCCGATTCGCCTAGGGCGACTCCAAATTTGATCCACGAAAGGTTGCTCGATACGTTTTGAGAAACGTCATTAACGCTAGCTTCGCAGTGTTTCTACGAAGCTGCGACTGAGAGAGTGGAGAGTTAAAAAGATGAAAAAAAAATGAAAGAAAAAGAAATCATGGAACAGGGTCCTGGCCTGGAGTACCCCAATAAATATGAAAACAACTACGAGAGAGAAAAAGAGTGAGAGAAAGAGAGAGAGAGAAAGAGAGACAGTGCCTGTTATGCCTGGAACAGGTTGGAAGCTAATTCGAGTCCCGGTTCATTCCCTTTCACCCCTTCCTCTCTCATCAGTCCCTCTCACTCTCACTCTCGATGTCTGCGAGCCTTAAATCGGCCGATTCAACCGACGAGTAAATGGTTTTTATTCACCGTCGTCTTGCTCCTCGCCAAAAGTCTCTTTTTCTCTTTTTTTCCAACTCTTTGCGAATATTTTTCTTCCTTGTCTAATTCTTGTTTTATCTCTTTTGCTTACAGTGCTGGAATCACTGCGAGGGCCTGGAATATCAGTGGCAGACCTATAAAGACCTTTGCGAAAACGACGCGATCTCCTCAACTGTAAGTATCTTCGTTTTTTCACCAAAAATTAATTATTTCTCTTAAATATCGATTTTTATTGAATTATTTTCATTAAAATCAGTTTTACAATATTTATTGCTATTCAATTTATTGTAACTAAATTTTTTGCTATTCAATTTATTGTAATTAAATTTATGGCTATATACAATTTATTGTTACTCAATTAATTGTTATTTAACTTATTATTACTCAATTTATCGTTATTTGATTTATTGCTATTCTATTTATTTACATACAAATGGGTTTATTTTATAAATAAAGAAATCATTTATTGCTATTCAATTTATTGTCACTTAATTAATTGTTATTCAATTTTTGTTACTCAATTTATTATTACTCAATTTGTTGCTATTCAATTTACTAAATTGTTACTAAATTTGTTGTTATTCTTTTAATTGTTATGCAATTTATTTATTTACATGTATACGAGCTTTGAAAAAAAGCCCTTTATTGTTATTAAATTTTCGTCTTATTTATTGCTATTAAGTTCATTTTTTTAATAAACAATTTCTGGAGTTAATAATAAAAAAACCACTTTAATTTATTTTTAAAAAATTCACTACTTTTCTATTATATAATTTTTAGCTCAAAAATTTTATTTCCAAACTCAATTAATTTATAACAATAAATTAATTAAATTCCATAGCTATTGTATTCAGTTTATCTATAATTCTCTTCCTTTTCTTTCAAAATTTTCGTTCACCTTGATTCGAGTAAAATTTATTGCCCCTCTTGCCATTAGCTGTAGTTATTAGCTGTGAAATCAAAAATTTCATAGACGAACTTTTCCGTATTTCGACAGAGAGTGAGAGAGGGATTTCACAGTAAATTCGAAGAAATGCGATGAAAAACTGGTTTTTTTTTCTTTTGTTAAAATTAAGTAATTGGTTCCTTTTTTCGAAGGTCAACATAAAAATTGTTAACTTCAGGGTTGTAAAAGAATTACATAAAAGATGGATCGTGTGAAACAAATTTTTGTAAACTACAAAAGGGATCGTCACTTTTTACAACAACCCTTATTCATCAAAAAGAAACATTACAATGAATAATAATAATCGATTTTATTTTTTGCTTTTAACATTTACAATTTTTATGTTCTTTTTCACGGATAAATTCCACAAAATTTTCCTTGGTAAATTCTTTACCATTAAATAGGAAACAATAATTTGTGTTGAAATATTATTGAGAATTTGAAAAATAATGTAAAATCAACGATTGTTAATTGTTTAAAATATACAACATTTTTTTTAGTAAAGTATAGAGTTAGTATAACAAAAATAACAATGATGTTCATTTGAGTGTTCAAAAGTTTAGTGACACGAATTTTATTTTCAGTAATAAAAATTTCCCTTTTCAACTGTGGGAAAATTTTTTCTCTCCACTATTTTCTTGATAATAAACCGATTATTTCCATATATTTTAATTCAATTTTTCAAAGAACGACCTTATAAAGGGATCAATTTTATGTCCCCTGAGAGAAATATCAAAGTTTTAAGAATTCGAGCATAAAAAATCATATGTAGGTAAAGGTAGGAGGGGGTTGGGGGGAGATTTTGATGACACAAAGCCCCTTGTAAAAGGAAAGTATAACATTTAAAATCCTAGACTCAGGTGCAATCCGATCTAGTCCAAGTTACGTGTATTAGATCTCGGATTTCTGACCCTTTTTTAAACGGGCGATCGCTCGGAAAGCGGGTAATCTTGCTGTCAGTTCTTGTTATCCTCAAAGGAAAAAAACGAAGAGAAGGTCCTTTTCTATTCTGAAATCGACCGAGCGGGAGAAAAATTTCTTACCAATTTTCAAACGTGTATGAGAGAGAGAGAGAGAGAGAGAGAGACTTGAAACTTTCAAAAAACTTCACGTAAGGAAGAGAAAAAAAAGGACCGTTGAAAGCAATGATCCGTCCTATACCGAAACCGTGACGCATAAAGCGTACCCTTCGGACCTTCCAATTTCGAAGGAGAAAGAAAAAAAAAATGCAGAGCAAAAGATGAGAGAGAGAAAGAGAAAAAAACGAATTCTCTCGTCCAATGAACTTTTCGAACGGGAAATGCTTAGAATCGACTACCTGCCGATTTTTCACGGAAGGTCGAGCAAAGTCTTCTTTTTTTTAGGAGTTGGAAAAAGAAAATATTCTTTTTACGTATTTTTTTCATCCAGTCATTTTTACTCGACTGCCAAATGTTGTAATATTTGGTAGGAGTGAAATTTTACAATTCTCGATAGTCATCATATTTAAATATTTGAGAGGAGAAAATTTTCTTTCTTCTCTTTTTCTTCCATCAACATTTTCGAAAAAAGGTAAACACTCGATTTTTACTCTTTTGTAGGATATATTATTCATTCTCAAGCCTCGGATAGTTTGAATTTTTTTCCACTACATATTTTTAGAAAAGACGATTTTTTTCGACTTATTTTCAAAAAATGCGAACTTTTCGACTGTTTTTTCAAATAGGATTGCAACAAAATTCAATTTTTTTTGTATAAAATGCAAATTATTTTTATTTTTATAGTGTATAAAAAAATAACTGTAGTCAAATATTTCAAAATTTATTTTTGATTAATTTTTTTAAGATAATTAAACTTTTGAAGTGGTTAATTGAAAAGTTTTTTAACAATTGAAATTCAGTAAAATTTTATGAAAATAATTAAAAACAGTTGATTTTCTAAGTATTTCATTAAACTATACATTTTCGAAAATTCCAATTTTTATAAATAATAATTGCATTAAAATTTGTTAAAAAAATTGAGTTTTTTTTAGAATTATTCCTCAAATTTTGAAGAAAACAATTATTTTCCAAATTTTTAATTAAGATTCTTTAAAAAATTCATTAGTTTTTCGAATTGTTCAAAAAATCTGTTATGAAACTCTATTCTATTTTGTAAAAATCATGTATTTTCATGTTTGCAATTAAAATTCTTCAGAAGAATTGGTTAATAAAATTATTTTTAAAAATTGAATTATTTTTTTCAATTCAATTCAAAATTTTGTACTAAATTGGATTTAAATTAAGAATTTTAATTCCTTGAGGAAAAATAAACAACAATTTAAATACCCATTTTTATTTAACAAAATTATTTAATTTTGATTAATTGATTTTAGAAATTGAGGGGCCGGATGTATCAACTGCCTCTACGCTCGAACGTGTTGTCTGTCTCTTTTTTCGCAAGATAAGATGTCGGAAAAAGTATCTGAAATTCCGAAGTCAATGAAAAGCAAAAATAAAAATTGTTCTCAATAGAGCTTATATAAATACACATTTTTTATTAAGAAAATTTTGTTCTGTGACTTTTATTTTTCTTGATAAAAAATAAAAACTAAATTTTTCCACCGGATTAAAATAATTAAATTTTAATACTCAACTCGTGATATTTTGTTAACCAATGAAGCAAAATAGTTGTAACTTCACATACCTTCGTAGAAAACCTCGCTGATTCCAGCGAAATGATTAAAATAATAAAAAAGTATAATTTGTTAATAATTTTTAGCTGCAAAGTAAGTATTGTCGTGACACGTGTTTTAGAAACTTTGAACGAAAAAACATTGCGATGAAGTTTCGAATTTAAAAAATTTTTTTATTCTAACTTGTTAAGTAGTATTTGATAAAGTTTTTCTGAAAATATTGCTTTCTTTAACCGATAACTATACTTTCTACAACAGTTTGTTTAAAAAGACGTCAGCGCGCTACGAGATGTTTCGCAGCGCAGCACTCGCAAGTAAACGACAACTCCATTGATATAAGTCTATATAATTGTTTTTGACAGGAGAAAAAAGGGTTTATAATATAAATAATAATTATTTTCAAAACATTTGAAATAAATCTAAAAATTTTTTAATACACATTTTACATTTCGAGTTATAAAAATATTGTAATACATAGAATGTAACTGGATTACTTATACCGTATATTAGTCTATGGCAATTTTAATACTTTTACGTTACGTAACAACTAAACAATGAGTAATTTAATTTACATTTATTTTTGTAACATTTACGACGCTAACTAATGAATTATTATGCATAACTTTGGTTTGTTTTTTACCCTTTTCAAGTTTTTAAATAAAACATTTTTAATAAGAAAATAATGTTCTTTAAGATAATACGACGTTTTTCTTTTAATTTTAATAAAATTATATTCTCGTTTGGTACGCTGTGTACATTTATGCATAAAAATGTTTCGTTCCTTTAACACGTAGATTTTTATAGTTTACAGAAATATCCAAAATTCTGTTTATTTAAACGATCAAATTCAATTATCAAAGTTTATTGCAAATTTGAATTAAAACATAACTTAACATACCTCATTTCGTAATTTTTTGCAAACATTGTGTTTCCATGTACTTTCATTTTTTGGCCTTTTTCTCCCACAAGACTTATTTGTGTCACTCATCTTCACACATTAAAAACTATTGCAATAATGTATTTACAAGATTCGTCTTCAGGAGACAAACTCCTACTGACATCCGGTTTTTGACCAAAATGGCCAAAACATTTTCTCAATTGTGATAAAAAAATCTCAAAATCCTGGGAAAATTGTATTGGGTTTTACCGAACCCTTTTTTTTTGCAGTCAACGGTCGCGGCAGCCGCGATCCATCTGGACACCATATTTTTCCGAAGAGTGAAAAAAATCACAACTTTGAGAAAAATGGTATATAAAAAAGGGTTACTTTCTTGAAAAGTGCATATGATAACAAAAAAAATCTATTGTATGAAAATATCTGCCAAAATACAGATATAAATAAAATAAAAATAGGTTTTAACGTCAAGTATTCAATACAATATACAATTATTGTACAATTTATTTTGCGAATAATTCTGCAATATTTTTTTAAAAAATATTTCTCATGTTATTTACTTACAATACATGTTAAAATAAATAAACTGATGCTACTGTTATATAAAGCTAAACGAATCGTCATAATCCATAGTTAAATATTATATAAAAATAATTACTTTGATAGCAAAAATTCAGTCAAAAATTAAAATAATAATATTTTTACTAATCTTAATAAACATTTATTAGTTAAATTAACATCAAATTTATGTCAAAATAATTATACACTAATTATTTGCATGTCAGTAAATTTGAACTATTTTTAGCCGGTTTTGGCTAATTATTATTGGTTACTTTTTAACAATAATTAATAGTTTTTAACTAAATTGCTATTGCAAAAATTTATCAGTGACTTTACTAAAAATTGTATTTCTTTTCAGTAAAGAAATGAATAAACTAAAATAGTCTCAATCTGTTCCAAACAAACAACTTGGGAATCAATGTATTCGTTTACTTGCGAGTGCTGCGCTGCGAAACATCTCGTAGCGCGCTGACGTCTTTTTAAACAAACTGTTGTAGAAAGTATAGTTATCGGTTAAAGAAAGCAATATTTTTAGAAAAACTTTATCAAATACTACTTAACAAGTTAGAATAAAAAAATTTTTTAAATTCGAAACTTCATCGCAATGTTTTTTCGTTCAAAGTTTCTAAAACACGTGTCACGACAATACTTACTTTGCAGCTAAAAATTATTAACAAATTATACTTTTTTATTATTTTAATCATTTCGCTGGAATCAGCGAGGTTTTCTACGAAGGTATGTGAAGTTACAACTATTTTGCTTCATTGGTTAACAAAATATCACGAGTTGAGTATTAAAATTTAATTATTTTAATCCGGTGGAAAAATTTAGTTTTTATTTTTTATCAAGAAAAATAAAAGTCACAGAACAAAATTTTCTTAATAAAAAATGTGTATTTATATAAGCTCTATTGAGAACAATTTTTATTTTTGCTTTTCATTGACTTCGGAATTTCAGATACTTTTTCCGACATCTTATCTTGCGAAAAAAGAGACAGACAACACGTTCGAGCGTAGAGGCAGTTGATACATCCGGCCCCTCAATTAGTGAAAGATCAGGCAAATATAAAATTAAATTTTTGTGACAATACTGAATGAAGTAAACGACTTTTTCGGCTTGTTTCATTAATCTTTAATCGACTTTTTTGCGCCATAAAGTCAATCCGAGGTCTGCATTTCATAGAATGTTTGATTATCCATTTTTCTCTGCATTATTTTTGCTAGCTCGTGGAGGTTAAAAAGTTTCTTGTCTTGAATTCTTCTCCAAGGAAAAAGAACTTGAGAAATTCTGTACCTACTTAATTTTCGTCTTGACCTTAGAAAGGCCATTCCTTTCCTTCAAATAAAGGGAAATTTGAGAACTTTTAAAATTTCAAAATACAGTCATAATTTTCGTTTCGAATTTAGAAAACCCTTTTCTTTTAAATACACAACTCAAGGAGAAAAAAGTGAAAGAGAAAAGTGAGTGAATGAGAGAGAGAGAGACAGAGCTTATCTTTAAAAATTACGAGCGAAACACGACTCTTGAAGATAAGTTTTGTGTGCTGGTTCCTCAAAGGCATTCCAATTTCAAGGTAGTTGAAGATGGTCGTTAATTAATGGAAAGTCACACTCCAAGTGCACTTTCAGTGATACCTAATCCAAGAATGACCATACCTAAAATTATCCTGACAATTTTTATTTTCTTTTTTTGTCCCTTTTTCCAAAGACTATCTTCATTGGTCTGTTATATGTACTCATTTTATGTTTATTAAAGTTCTTCATAATGACTTCAATAGTCACTTTGGGAGAGCCTTTTAACAAAATCAACAGAATTTATATATATTATGCACACGACCGTTTTCCAATATATACGATAAGCACCTATAAAAGCTTCCAGTATTTATTGTTACGTGTAAAATCATTTTAAGAATGGGCCACCTGTAAATAATGTGATTTGATATGATAAATATTTTCTCGAAAAAAAACTCTTTCTACTTTTAAAGAATCTAGTTAGGAAATGTTTCTTTTGAAAGAGGGTAATAAAGTACGATTTGACTTTCTTGTGGTTTTTTTTAAACTTTTTTTTAAAAGATGACTCAAAATTTTTAGAAATATTACTGTTAGAAAAAGTCATTAGAAGATGATGACCATCGGTATATAGATACTAATAGGCAAAAAAAAAAGATAATTTTTTCTAGTACTTTTTTAGTTTTCCTTTTGTTTCTCTAGTTTTACTTGAATAACTCTTTCAGGAATACTTTTTTTTTTACTTTTTTTTACCCTTTTTTTCTAAATCTTGTATACCATTAGAATCATTTTCCCTGTAATTTATCGTTGCTTCTTACGAAAGAGAAGATAATTTCCGTTAAGGAAGAGAAGTTTTAACTAATTTTGTAATGCTTGGTAATTTTCTTCAATCATGAAACACAAAGTGATTTAATTTTCTCTTATTCATTTATTAATTTTTTTCCTCTCTTTCTGTTACAGTGCCCATCATGCGGAACAATTTGCAACTACAGGAAGACACGAGTGATAGAAGAATATCTTCCATCAACATTACCAGCGCCAGAGAGGCCTCCAGCTTCATTAAAAAAATACGACATAGCAATTCTCTTGAGGAAAGTTAACAACGAATGGATAGAATCCGGTTATTTCCCAGGATCCTTTGTAGCTCGTCTAAAGCCAAGTATGTGGCTTATTGTCGTCTCGGGAGATGGAGTGAGGCACTTTAGCTATGACGAGTGGATACCAACGCTTGAATCCCTGAAATCAGGTTCACTTTATGAAGCGACAATTTCGTGGCGCAACGTCGATGCGCAAATACGTAAAAATTATGTTCTCGAGCAAAAGGAATTTAATGATAAAATAAGACAATTTTATTTGGAAAAATACGGACACAGCGTTCTTAATGAGAGAAATTCAGAGGAGGAGGGACCAACTGAGGCATTATTCAGAGATTTCTTCTTTAAAAAGAAGAATGATGAGGACATTATTTTTGGTGATCATGTGAGACCATCGACGAGTTATAGTTTATTCAATAAGGAGCGTGAGGAGAAGAAGGAATCGTGGGTCGTTGCTTGGGAACCGGAAGCTGGTGGTCTAACCGGAAATCAAGAGGCTGATTCGAATTATGCACAAATAACACTTCTTCCCGGAACACGTTATCGTGTACGAATTGCATCGAAAGATGGACCTGGCAGTTTTCCCATTGAAGTTGACACAAGTGCCTCATCATTTGTGCAAGTTCACAGAATAAAAAAAAACTTCAAAAATATTTACGCATGGGGGATCATCGCTGCGAGCATGTCTATGCTCATTTTTATCACTGTATTCGGATTAATCAAATTGTTAACGAGAAATAGAAAGTACATTGAGACAGAGGAGGAGGTAGTATGAGTTTTCATTCAAAGGCGGCTTGGGGACTCAAGTTCATTTTTTTTTCCATAAAAAAAATGCTTTTGGGTCGATAAAAATGTCGACCAAAAAGAATAGAAAAAAAAATCTCAGGGATCCACTTCCTCAGCGATGAGGTTGAATATAAGTGGAGGATTTTTGAGTTAAAGACTGAAAGAAGACAAGGATCGGGGGGAATGAAAAAAAAACTCCCGATTGTCTTCTTAGGAGTTTGAAAAGCTTCATGTCGGATTTGAAGAGAACGAAGACTACTGTGAGAAATAAAGAAGTAAATAAAAAAAAAACTGTGGCCAGTTAGAAAAATAGACGAAACCAATGAAATATACGAACATTTGATATTAAATTTCATGTCAATTCAATTCAGTTTCCTACCAGTTTACACAAAGAAATTTCCATTTTCCTTAAAATAAAATTCGAAAATAACCTGCAACAAAAATTGTTAATTCGTGTTTGTACTTCCAATTTTTAAAAATCAAAAATTACTTTACAGATTTTATCAGATAAATTTCTATTTTGCTAATTTATATAACAGAAAAAAACAATTGTACAAACTTGCTCAAAATGTAACGAAACAGACTGTACAAGAGTTCCTACTAAACGACCGTGGGGTTTTAGACTTCACCAAATGTATTTATTTGTAAATATTGTGGATATTTGTAAATAGTAATTATAATTAAATAAAACATTTTAAGTGAACTTTATTTTCTAGAAATTTATTTAATTTTTATCTCAATAAAATATTTTACACAAAAACATTTTTTATTGCTTTCGGTGATTATCATATTAATTTCGATAAACTACTTAATTCATATTTAAAAGAAATCAATTATAATTGAATAGATACTAACTTTTAAATGTGACTCACAAAAGAATAATTTAATTTAAATAATAGTGATAGCATTGGTACTTATTAAATTTAATAAAACAATTTTTTTTATGGAATTAAAAAAATATATATAAAGTTTTTACAATAATTAAAAAGTATTTTAAGTATAGAAATGCGCAGAATAAAAAAATAGCAATTTTATACCTTCTTGGTCTTTAAAGTTATTAATAATAATTTTACAAAAATAATAAAAAAAAACTTATTAAACAAGAAAATAAAAGTTAATATTAATAATTAATAATAATAATTTAATAAAGATAATAAAAAAATATGTGAAATAAAAAGGAAGGGGTTACTGAATTTCATGGACGGACACATCAGTGAAGCAGTACAAAATTTTTATAAATTTTAAGAAGTCTCAATTTTAATATTTAAATATTAATCTTTACAATTTTTAATACTTTCAAAAAATTCAGAAAGCAATTAAATTTAAAATGAACCTTTAAACATTTTTTTATTAAAATTGATTCATTATAATTATTTAATAAAATTTATATATCACTTTTCATTTCAAAAATTAATCCTTCAAATATTTTTAATACTTTAAACAATATTGGAAGTTCAGAAAAAATATTTTCCTCAAGATGGAAAATTATGCAGGTAACTATGTAGCACTAATTATTTCAGTAAAATTATTTATTAATGACATTTTTTATATTTTAATAATTCAAATCAATTTATTTTTTAATTTTATCATTGTTTTTGAATTATAATGAATCATTTCAATTAGATGAATTAGAATTAATAGTTTTAATTATAATAATTATAACTAAAGATTTAAATTATATCAATAAGAGACACATGAACATTCTCAAAATATTATTTGGCATAATAGTCATTTGACATAAAACCATTTAAAGTTCATTTGATATAAAATCCATTTGGCATAAATTTCATTGGACATGAAAGTCGCAATTGACATAAAATTCTTTTAGCATAATTCCTATTTGACGTAACAATCACTAGACGTAAATTTCATTTAACTTAAAAATCAATTGGCATAAGTTTCATTTGACATAAATTTGATTTGTTATTACTTCATGTCAAATAAATTTTATGTAAATGAGAATTATGTTCAGTTACTTTATGTCAAATGAGTTTTATACCAAATTAAATTTAAGTCAAATGAAATTTATGACAAATTAATTTAATCTCAAATGAGTCTTATGTTAAATGAAATTTATGAAGAATGAATTTTAACGTTAAATAAAATTTTTATTAAATTAATTTGATCTCAAATGGTATTTATGAGTCAATATAATTTTAATTCTACTTATTTTAATGTCTTATGTAATTTATATCAAATGATTTTTATGTTCATATCAGTGCATTTCATGTTAAATGGTTTTATATCAAATAGCTATTATGTCATGCAAGATTTCAGGAACAATCATGCTTCTTTATTAGTTATTATTAATAATTTCAATTATGATAATTATAATTAATAATTTTAATTACTTTTTCAAATAATTTAATTTAAAAATTCTAATTATAAAATTTATTTTTATAAATGAAATCAAATTAAAAATATTCAGTGCTTAAATATTTCGGTAAAATATATGTAATGCAAAGATCTATAATTTTTTCTCGTAACTTCAATTCAAAATAAAATGCTAAACTATTTTGGAAAATTTAATTAACCTTTTTCTCAATTTTATTAAAACTATATTTTTAAGAAAATCAATGAAAAATTGCCAAAATTAAATATTTTGCCAAAAAAATTGTTTCATCTAAATGTATAAAAAAATATCAATAAAAATTTACCGAATTTATTATTTCTTCTTCTTCTTATAATATTGAGAGAGAAATTCTCCCTGTCTTTACATAAAACGAAGTGAATCTCCTGCTATCTAAAGAAACACTGCGATCATCAATGTGAACGAATTCTATGAGCAAACCCCTTCCTTACAATGTTATTACCTTGTATTTTATTTTTCAACAATTTCCCTTCTATTTATCTCTAAAATATGTACATTTTAGATAAAATTTTACAGAATTTCTATCAATTTTACAGCAATACTGCAATACAGCTTTATTATTTTTCATTATCAACTATAATACTGCTAAAAGTTTTGAAAATCGACATATTAAATATTAACATTGTCATTTATACTTTCCAAGAAGAATATGTGCATATAGAAAAAGCACCTTTGTTTTATTTCACCCTTTTAACGCAGTTTATAAATTCCCTCAAGATCATGAGAGCGACAAGAATAACATTTCAAGTATTAGAATTTTTAGGTCTTTGGAGACCTGTATTTTTTAATAAAAAATTATCCATTATTCTCTTCAATATTATTAATATATTTGCCTTAATTAACATTTATTGTCTCACTACTGGCTTCACTATTGTTGCTATTCAAAATGTCGATAAAGTCGCTGACAATTCTGAAAATATAAGTTGCTCTCTTGTCTCATTTATGTTTTGTTTTAAAATGACATTTATTTTTTTCAATCGCAATAAAATTATCGATCTATTAAATATGTTTTCGCACGAAAACTGCGTTCCTCGTGATAAATATGAGAAGTTAATTTGGAAAAATAGTGAAAATTATAGCAGGTTCTTAAAATAGCTTCTTTAATTTTTAGAAATTCTCAGGGATCACAGACTTTTAACTTTTCACGCATTTTCTCACCGTTTTTGCAATTTTGTCACCAAATTTAATCTAATTCATTAACTTATTTTAAAAATGTTTCAAATATTTTTAATCTATGTGCTATCAAGAATTTTTTGCACCCGGGTAGCCAAATCGTTTTTTATTTGAATTTGTCAAAAAGGAATAAATAATACTTCACCTTTTTCACATGATTCAAAGAAAACAAGGTACTGTGATCCCTAATATTTAAAAAAAAGAGAAAAAATAAATTAAAAAATAAATTAATTTTCAGATTTCTAACAAAAGGTTTTGTAACGATGTGTTTTATGATCGTGATTGGCACTTCACTGTGTCCATTATTTAATATAAAGAATATACAATTGCCTTTCGTTGTTTGGTTTCCTTTTGAAATAAATTCGGAATTGAAATTTTGGACTTTTTATTTCTATCTAGCTTACACTTCATTTGTGGTAATATGTGGAACGGCTGCAATAGAAGCACTTGCGTCGAATCTATTGCATCTTATATGCGCTCAACTGGAAATAATGAGTTATCGTTTATTAAAACTTTTTTCCATGGAAAACAATAATAATTTAACAAAAGATCTTTTAAAATACCAGTGTGCAATTCTCAAAGACTGTGTTACTCATCACATTTATTTATATTCGTAAGAGTTTGAAATAATACAAAATCATTTAAAAGTAAAATTATTCGCGTTTTTATTTTTCTATTCTTTTTTAATAGTTTATATCCTATTAATAATTATAATTATTTTTAACCATCATTTATAACTTTTTTTATTTATTTATTTTTACACTTATTTGTTTAGATTTATTGCTTTTTATTGTTGAAATAATTATCTTAATTATTTTGTAATAAAATGTATTTAGTATTGGGTACTAAAACGCATTTTTTCATTTATTAATTTTTTATTATTATATTTACTATACCTAATAATATTATTAAAACAATATAATATTCATAATAATAAAGCTTCGTCATATGAAAAAAAAATTTTAATCTATATTATTAAATTTAAAATAAAATTAAAATGTACTACCTTTCAGAATTGAGAAACAATTAAATAAAGTTTTTGGTCTGATGGTCGCCTTGCAATTTTTAGTTTCAACTTCAAATATATGCACAAGTTTGTATCAGTTAACGTATTTAAATCCTCACAGTTCGAGATATTGGTCCCTTGTGGCCTGCCTCGTTTGTTTTCTTACACAAATTTCCTATTATTGTTTTTCTGGAGAGAAATTAATAGAAAAGGTAACATTAATATTTGCTCAAATTTTAATTTCTTCTATTTCTATTTAAACTATTCTTATTTTAAATTACTAATAATACAAACTTTTCTTAATTATTAATTAATTATTATTAATTAATCATTAAGATTAATTAATAATTAGTATTTTAATATTCGTGTATTTTTTAAATCTATTTAATTATTTTATTTATTAAACTAAAAAAATAAAAGTCAACTTTTATTTTTGTGTAAATTTTAGAGTACATCTATAAGAGATGAAATCTATAAAATGGATTGGAATTTACTTAATGAGGAAACAAAGCATCAATTATTGATTATAATGATAAGGGCCAATCAACCAATGCAATTATCTGGAGCTTCAATAGTCAGTATGTCTATTGAAACATTTGTTAAGGTGATAAAAATTTGATAAGTATTTCTTGTAATAAAAAAATTTTTTTTTGTACGAGTATTTGATCAAGAGAAGCGGGCCCCTCTCCTCCACTGAGAGATGGAATAAACTCGTTCGATTGGATAAGAGAAAAAAAGAGGGGAGACGCGTCCGAAAGGTGGGGAGCGCTTCTCCTAGTCACTTACAGTACCTATTCCCTCATATACTCTTTAATATAATAAATATAATATAATAAAAATTAATCTTCCTCTAAATATATATTTCCTAGTTTCAATTTTATTCACGAAAAAATTTAGATGTGCTTTAATCAAATTATTTTAATTATTTTCATACTAGATATTAAAGGCATCTTATTCTGTGTTTAGTTTAATCAGAACCGTGTCAAAAAGTTAAGGAAAAAAATTATTAATTTAAATAATTTTATTTACTATCCTCACCAATAATTGTAAGTCTATTTTTACATAACTTTATTTTTCTACTTAAAGAAAAAAATATTTTTCAAAATTTTATACAAATTTTTTGTACTTCTGAATAGTTATTATTTGAATAGAATTCACTCGACAGTTTCCATAAAATGTTTGGAAATTTTCAGTAGCAAAGTGCAAAATTATTCCAAAGTAACTTTACACCGTACGTGCTGAGAAACATTTTACAAAAACTTTTCTGTAAATCACAAAACGAATTTCAAGTTTCTAAATAAATATTAAGAAGTAGAAATTTTTTTGTAAAATTTGAAAAAATATTTCTCAATTGCAATTTACAGTATTATTTTTTTTATTATTCTCAATAGAGCTGTGCAAAATTCGAACCGAACCGAGTTTTGTTCGGTTCGAATTTTGCACAGCTCTATTGAGAATAATAAAAAAAATAATACTGTAAATTGCAATTGAGAAATATTTTTTCAAATTTTACAAAAAAATTTCTACTTCTTAATATTTATTTAGAAACTGAAATGTCGAATTTTAGAATTCGACATTTTAGCGTACCAAAATCGAACACAACTCGGTTTAGTTCGAATTTTTTCGCCTAGTTCGAATGTCGAATATTCGACATCCGAACTGGGCTAGTTCGAATGTCGGTTTTTCGAGATTCGAACTGGGCTAGTTCGAATGTCGAATTTTCGACATTCGAACTAGGCGAAAAAATTCGAACAGTTCGGTTCGAATTATTTTGCACAGCTCTAATTCTCAATTATTATTAGTTTTCTTATTAGTTTTCAGAGTCAAGAGGATAAAATAAGAAATACATAATTTTATTCTTCATCTTCAAATGTACCACTTGTGTGGATCACAATTATTTGTAATAAAAAAAATCCTATTAAATCAACAGAAAAAAATTTCCAATTTTTGTTTCCTATTTATAAATTATATTACACACTCATCACCTGATATAACCTATAATATATTTAGAAAAAAAAATTAATACATTCACTTCTTAAATATTTTACAATTTCAATCAATTTATATTTTAATTAATAGATTAAATAAAATTTATGATTTAAAATAAAAAATTAATTTTTTTATTGAACTTTAAATTAGATTTGGTGAAATTTCCAATTTGATGAAATTATTTAAAAATAAATAAGCAGAATTAAAATTAATAATAAAATATTGAAGAGTTCAAAGAACAAAAATAGTTAGGTAAATGTTTCAGAAATTTTCAGTAAATTTCATTATTCTTTTATTTGTTTGTCTACTAAAATAAATATTACACTCAGATAACATTTTCATAGATCAATGGAAAAGTATTTGAGAACTGTAGGTACATTAAATTTTGTCCAAAGAAGGAAAAATTTCAACAGACTTCAATTTTTTCAGTGGAATATTTTTACTTATCAATAAAATTCAATGTGAACTTGATGGAAGCTAGTGAAAGACTAAATGGTATTATACACTATTGCGGAAACCAAAATCGATCCATTCTTTTGCTCTCCTCACAAGTGCTAATATACAAGTATCGTCTTTTTGAATCACATATTCTAAAGATTCATTATAAATGCACTGGTCTATTAATTTTCCATTCTTGTGGATAATTAGAATTCATTATATGTCGTGAGAATAATTTTCTTAACAAAAAAGTGTCAGAATATACAAGAAACTAAAATCGATTCATTCTTTTCTGCATTTAATGTCGCGGTTATAATTTCCACTCTTTGTGACTCGAATATGATTTTATTATAAATTCATCGACACAATAATTATTCTTATCTACTTGTAATTATTTTATGCTACAATTCAGCGAGCGACTAATATTATTAATTCTCTTTGAAATATTATTTCAATTTCAAACACAAGTATTATTTGTGAAAAGTGTATGCTAATAATTTCGCGAGTATAAAGTTTCAGTATAATGCTCGACATAAGGGTGAGAGGACATGTAAGATTTTCAAATGAACAATTTTTTCCCCTTGTGTTACAGTTTCAAAGCAAAAACAATTATTATTGAAATAAATTTGGAAAATAACGTTAAATAACATTAATGTTCGACAAGTTTAGAATAAAATTATTCTAAAATTATTTTAAAAATATTAAAAATTTATTACCATTTCTAAAAATGCTACAAATTAAAAGAATAAAAATAGCTGAATATTCTTTTAGAGTATTGACATTTCTTGGATATTGGAGACCAGAATCATTAACATCTTTATGGCAGATACGATGTTATAATATTTACAGTGCAATTTCGTTAATATTTAATTACTTCTTTGCTTCTACTTTTTTAATCAATCTTTATCACAATATACGAAATCCCGAAGTTTATATAGAAAATATTTTCTTTTTTACAACAGTTTTTTTATTAGCATTTAAAGTAACTTATATCAAGGTTTATCGAGATGATATTATTTTATTGCTTAATATGTTTTTGCAAAAGAATTGCCTTCCTCGTAATAGAAAAGAAACTCAAATTATCAACAAATGTAAACAGAAAGAAAGGTTTGTAAAAAAAATATTACCATTTTTCTTTAAATCTTTCTGTAAATGTTTAGAAAATCTTAAATAAAGAGGACAATAACTCTAGAACTTTTATATACGATATGTCTCTCTGATATATTTCGATAATTTAAATTATTTTTTAAATTAAAATTTTTAAACATGAATTGATTCATTAAAAAATTATTATTCTGTAAACTCATACACTAGAACTTAAATAAAATACTAGGAAAAAAGTAACAAAAACAATTTTTTTTTTTTTTTTTTGATACTTGTATTTTTTATTACTTTGATGCTACTAAAAATAAAAAATAAAAATTTAAAAGTAAAAAAATCCAATTGCACTAAATAAAATAATAAATTATGTCGCAAAATATGCGTGCATAGTAACAGCAATTTATTTATTTTTTAATATGCATTCTTTTTCAGAAATATGACATTTTTTGCAAATTCGTTTTTCAGATTCAGTGAACGTCTTTTTGTGACTTCTACTTTATTCACAGGTACAATATATTTATTATGGCCATTAATGAATGTAACAAGTATGTCACTACCACTTAAAAGTTGGATTCCATACAATGTTAACACGAGGACAATATTTTATCTAACCTACTTGTATCAGGGATTCGCTCTATTTTATGAGGGTTTACTGTATACATCAATGGAATCGTTATTAACAATACTGATGCATCACATTTGTTCACAACTTGAAATTCTTACTATTCGATTTTTTGAAATTGCAAATTTAAGGAAAAGAAAATCTTTAAAATTCGATATTTACGAGGAAGAATGTAAACTTGTCAAGCACTGTGTTGATCACCATGTTTGTATTTTTTCGTAAGTCTAAAATGCTATTGCAAAATAAGTGATGACACAAATTTAAATGTATATTTGGCATAAGCAGGAGCACTCAAAACCAAAAGGTCTTTTAAGCTGAGTAGTGATTTTTAAAAAGGTTTGAGGTGCAAAAATAAGACACCAAAGTGTCATCAAAATACACTTTGACAGAAATTTCTTTTTGATGAATTTTTGTTTAATTGAATATAAATTTACTTGAATTTCTATTTAACAGAACTTTTATGCAACCAAATTATTATTTGACTGAACTCACAAGTAAAAGAATTTTCAAATTTTGGAAATATATATATAGAAGTCCAGACTCTTTTCATTTAGAAAATTTTTTTCGTTCAGAATAAGTTAACCAAAAATTAAATATAATTTTCTTTTACAAGACAACTAGATATAAAAAAAGAAACCTTATTTTGACTCACTACTCAGATTCCAAAATTACTGTAAATTTTTTTTGTTTGTAAGAATTGAAGTATTTCAATAACCATCTCTTGAATTTTTTATGTTAGATCAACGGAAAATGGAAGTCCAGACACTAATGGATTCGTAGTATGTAGTTTGTAAATAGTGCAACATGTAGGTAGATTTAAATTTTCGGGAAAATTAAATTTTTAAATTGTATATTTTTAGAATACGATTTATGTATTTACCCAACAAACGTATTTCTATAGAACAGATTCTGTATAAAGTATCTTAGAATTTTTCTTAGAAGCATAAGAGAAAACAAAACTTAGCTATAACTTTGTTACTACAGAGTTCTAAAACAATTAGAGCTAGTATTTTTAGAACTAGATTTAATTTTAAAATTAGTTCTAAAACAGGAACTCGTTCTAAACTTCGAACAAATTCTAAACCTAAAAGTACACTACCGGTCAAAATTGAGAGACCACTCATTTTCAGATAAATTAAAAACATTTTAAAACATAAAATTTATGTAAACTAAAATTTTTTTCTTTTTATTTTTTGAAAGATGATAAAATTTTGCGTTAGAACAAGATCTTTCAGAAGTCATTTGGTCAATATTTTATTTAGATATTTTTAAAAATTGTCATTTTCAATGTTTTACAAAAATTTGTATACCTAACTTCTAAAATAATGGATGCTTTTTAATGATCTTAGGCTTATTTTAACGGTCATTTTCTACAGTATGAGAATTACTTATAGGCATTAACGTGTAATTGTGTAATTTTTTTCTTAGAAAATGCAGGTTGTCAAACTTGGACCAAAAAACTTTTAAAAATTTGAAATAATTTTTTTGTACTATAAAATATTCTAGAAAATATATAAAACATGGTATGTTGTAGATTTTTCAAGAAAATTTGATAAAAAAAAATATGTTTGAATTTTAAAAATCATTTTTCTGTTAATAAGATTGTTTCAAATTTTTTTCGTCCAAGTTTGACGACTTTCATTTTCTAAGAAAAAAATTGCACGTTAATGCCTATAAGTAATTCTCATACTGTAGAAAATAACCTTTAAAATAAGTCTAATATCATTAAAAAGCATGAATTATTTTAGAAGTTATTCAAATCTTTGTAAAACCTTGAAAATTATGATTTTTTTTAAATATCTAAATAAAATACTAGCCAAATGACTTCTGTAAGACCTTATTCTTTCGAAACTTTATCATCTTTCAAAAATTAAAAAGAAAAGAATTTTAGTTTTCATAAATTTTGTTTAAAAATTTTTTCATTCCCTTGAAAATGGGTGGTTTCTCAATTTTGACCAATATTGTAGTTCCAGAATTTGCAGTCTAATTCATAAATATGATATAGTTTTTCTATTACTGTGTTATAGATTTTTTATATTATAATTTATCCGTGTCTCTGTTGTTTAACGAATTAACAGCAAGCATATGTAACAGCTTTATAAATTACCGCAACACTTTCTTTTCTTTCCTTATAAAATAAATTATTATTATTAAACAAAAATGTTTTAGAACATTATTCTATAATAGTGCAAAATTTTTACGTACTCAATATTTTTAAAACTAATGCTGTTACTTAATTTATTGTTGTAAATCTTTCCCAGAATAAGTTTTACAATTTTTGTGTATAAGTTATTTTAAATGTTTGTACTACAACAATTTATGAAAAATTATGAAATATTAATTTAAAACAGATGTTTTAGAACATTTGTTATATAAAGTTTTTGTATGAATGATCTTGAAAAGCTAGAAACATTTAAACTTAGATTCTAGAACATTTCCTATAAATTTGGGAAATGTTCTGGAATGAAAATTGTCATAGTAAAGTTTTAGCACATAAACATAGAACAAGTTTGACGGGTATTTACATAGAACCTTAAATCCTGCTTTTTTCCATTAACAAATAAACATTATCAAAGAAAAAAAAAATTTCCCCACTAAACTAAAATATTTAAAACTAGTTAATTTGCAGAATGGAAAAACAGTTAAATGCCATTTTCGGTTTCTTCATCTCACTTCAATTCTTTGTTTCTGTATTAAATTTATGTACTTCCGGATTCTATTTAACAAAAGTAAATACAAGTGGTGCTTATTTTTGGTTTTCAATTATGATAATGTGTTGTTTTATCATACAAATATTCACTTACTGTTATTTTGGGGAAGAAATGACAAGGAAGGTTAATAGTTTTTTAGTTTTAAAATTATTCACTCATTTATTGTTAATTTATTTGTTAATTTCTTTGTTATTAAGAAAATTATTCAACAACTTTTTTGTGTAGAGTTTGTCCATTGCTGACGAAATATACAAAATGAATTGGAATTCATTGAGTATACAAACAAAACAAAAATTAATAATGATTATAATGAGAGCAAATCATCCTATCCAGCTTACTGGCTCTTCAGTTGTGGTTTTATCTATAGAAACATTCTTTAAGGTAATTCAAATATTTTCCATCTAAACATAATATTCTTTCTAAATCTGAATTTGTTAAAAATAACTAATTACTGGTAGAAACTAACTTATTATTATTAAAAAGTAACTATTAGTATCTGTAGACAATAACTGATTGTTGGTAGAAACAGTAAGAAACTGACTAATAATTAGTAGAAACTAATTAATTATTTGAAGAAACTAACTAATTATTAGTGGAAAACAATTATTAGAAGAAAAAATAGTAAATAAATAACTTGAAAATATAGTGAAATTCAACTAATTGAATTAGTTATCAAAAAATTTATAAGTCTTGACATAACACAAAAGTGAATTTAACTAAATATTAGTATTTTTATCCATTATTAATTAATTAACTTATTATTAACTGTTTGTTTAGTAGAAATACTAATATTAAAATCAGAGCAAAGTGACATTCTACTGTCAAATTAATTCAAATTTAGAAACAACACTGCAAAAATTAAGCATATTAAAAGTAACTTTATAGTCACTTTTAAGACACTTCTTTTTGCAGTAAAGAATAAAACATTTTTCTACTTAGGATAAAAAAAATTAATTGCAGAGAAAAAAATTTTAAATTACACAAAGACTTTTTTTAAAACTATAAATATACTTAACAAGATTGCAATTTTAAAAGCGAAACAGTTCAATTTTTTTTAAGGAAATATTTTGGAAATATTTTACGTAATTAATAAATAAACAGAACAAATCGGAAAATCCTCTCTGCAATTAAGTTTCTCTCTCAAAAATTTTACTTTCTTACTGTGATTTTTTTGATATTGTGAATAATATTTTTCTTTGCTTAGGTTATTAAAGCATCTTATTCGTCGTATAACTTATTGAGGAATTCAAACTGAAAGATGCCACTGATAAATAAAAACAATTCTACATCATTTGTTAAAAATAGTTATAAAAAGAGAGTACATTTTTAAATATTATTGTAATTTACAGTATTAAAAAACAAAAACAAATATAAACAAATTAGTTGTTCTTTAACTCTAATTTTAAGTTACTATACTAGACCAAAAAATAAAAATTGAAATATTTCATTACAATATTTCCGTTTTGATATGTAAATAATTACCAAATTTCCGAATAATTTTTCAAATAAGTAAATTAAATTAAATAATTCGAGAAATTCCGAATTTTCAAAAAAATTATTCTTTAAAGACAAATTTTTATCTGCAAGAATAGGTATATAATTCAATCAAGCAATGTATAGATCATCCTTGTTTCTATATTTTCGTAAGTCTCAACATTATAAAGCATTATAATTAATTGTAAATTTATTTTTAAATAAATTAATATTATACTGTCTTTCATCGTACGAAAATAAAATAATTTAATAATTAAAAAACAAGAATTTGTAATTCTGTCTGACTGAAACTTACTTTTACTACTGATACAAAAATAAATTAATATATTCAAGATTTAGAAGTACTATGTCTGACTTAAACTGGTCTTTACTACTATACTTTTAAAATTTTTACGATTGAAAATATTTCCTTTATGTATGTATAAAACTGTTTAGAACTATAATATTGTACAACTAATTATTTTAAATTAATATTTAATTGTAAATTTTTGATTTACTCAAATTTAGGATTTTTGTCTTACTAAAATTTTCTTTTTCCACTGTAATCAATATTAAACTAAGAAATAATTAAAATAATAAAATATTAATTGAATTAAATTAATAAAATAAAATTAATTTAATTACAAATGCAATTATTTAAATGATTCTAATAATTAATTACTTAAAAAGATTAATTTTTCTTATTAATATTATTTATTAGGTATTAATAGATACTTACTTTTTAATAAATAAATAAATTTATTTATTAATAAACTTTAAATGAAAAAGATAAATTTTTGTACTGTTAGAAAATTTACCAAAAAGTTTAATAAAGTTTTTTAAAATATTATATATTTTCTTCATAAAATTTTAGGTGACTCTATAAAACAACTAAAAAAGTTTTCAAGAATTTGGTTATTTTCGAAAACTTTAATCAAAATTCACAAAAATTCTTTCTTGGAACCAAAACTTTGAACTACAATTGTTTAAAAATGTAATTTTATTCAGAATTTTTTAATAAAATCATTCAAAAAGTTAACAATTTTTAAATTACACTTTTTTAATATTATTTACTTTTTACCCTCTAATTCAAATTTTTAAGAAATTTCTTCGAGAATTAAATTATTAAAAAAAATCCACTTAAAAGACGTCTAGAATTCTCCAATTCTTTTTTTCCACATCTATTTTATGTACAACACTGCGGTTATTATTTAACAAAAGTAAGTACTGCTTGTTCGGCGAAGAAATTACATCAAAGGTAATTTGTCTCACTTCTTTATGTGTTAAAAGAAATAATTTATGTGTCTCAAATTAGAGATCATTAAATCAGAATATAATATTTAGAAAAATATATTTTACTTAAAATTTTCTTTGTCCTTTTTTTTATTTTGTAGAGTTTGTCACTTGCAGACGAAATATATAATATGGATTGGAGCATGCTAGGAACAAAAACAAAACAGAAATTAATAATAATGATTATGCGCGCTAGTCGACCAATGCAACTAACTGGAACTTCTATTGTTATTTTATCAGTAGAAACTTTTTTCAAGGTATACTTATTAAGTTTATTAATTTTACTATAAAAAAATGCATTAACTCGACGAAATTAAACAAAAAAATCGATTTCTGAAATTAATAATATTATAATTTTAGTTAAAATAAAAATAATAATTGTTTTTATTTTTACCCTTACTCTCTAAATCTGAATTAGTAGTTTTCTACTAATGAAATAGTGCGGATTCGTTTACCAATTGAATTAGTAACTGTTTTTACTAATTTTTAGTAGTTTTTTACTAATTATTAGTAGAAAATTTAATAATTTGAAATAGTAAAAAATACATTCTACTATTTGAATTAGTAATTTTCTACTAGCAATTAGTAAAAAACTACTAAAAATTGGTAAAAAATGTTACTAATTCAAATTGGTAAACGAATTCGCACTAATTCAGCTTTAGAGAGTAGATTTTAAAAGCATCCTATTGTTCTTACAATTTGCTGAGAAATTCAAGTTAAGGGAATAAATAGTTATGAATATACTCAACAAGGACAAAGAAAAAATTACTTTAAACAAATTATTTACTTTAATACCTGATTAATGATAGAAATAAATGTTGAATTTACAAAAAAAGTTGATTTATAGACAATATTTGAGACGCGCTCCCAAGAAAGGTACCTAAGGATAAAAAAATTTTAGGTTATGTTTATAATTTATGGAGTTAAAATACAAAATGTGGATCAACTTTCAATACAAACTGCTGATTTTTAAGTCTTTATTTTATTTAAAATAATTAATAAAAACTGATATTATTTTTATACAATTAAATACACACTTTTAATTATGGAAAAAAGAAGACAAACATAACCTTAACATGGCTTGCTTCATAGATACCTTTCTTCAGAGCGCGTCACATTTGTAAATGACAAATTATAAATAATTATGTATAATAATAAATAATCTTTGTTGTTGATCGTTAAATAGTTAAATAATATTAATATATTCTAGATTAATTTAAAAAAACTTTTTTCTATTAAAATCTACTTTACCTTAGTCGTAACATTCTAAATCCAAATTTTACCTTATTATTAATGCTCAGAGCATTTTATTTTAAGAAAACTTTCTTATATACCAAAGAATCATCAAATAGGATAGAAATTATTAAACATTCATTAAATAAAAAAAAGTTGAATACCAAAATAAAATAAACTTTTGAAAAATAATCATTAACAAATGATTAAAAAAATTCCAATTAATTACTATCTTGGCAAAAAAATTTTGTGTAAGACTAGAGACACCATTCAAGACTGGAGCGAACTCTGTGCTGTCTGATGAACGACTGACTATACACTTCTTAGGGAAAATTAATCGAAACCTGCTGTAATACATAAGTCATGGTGAAAAGAATGTGTCAGTCGCGTTAATCAATAAAAATAATTATAAATGCAAAAGCACTATAATTATTACTCTCTTTTTGTAATTATTGTTAATTATATACTCCATAAACTACAGAAAATAATATTTAAATATTCTCTTTAAACTATTATATTATCGCAAGAAATTCGAAACGATTCTAAAGACAGTAGTCCGCACAATGTAAAGAAGAACACATTTAACTTTATTTCTCAAAATAAATAGAATAAAAAGCTAAATTAAACTAATTTTGTTATTAAATATATTAAAGAAATTCTACACATTGAACGTATTGAATATTTCTTTTCACATAATTTTCTTTTTCATTATATTAATAAAAATAATAATTAAAATATCAAAGAAGTGTTATGTTCTTAAAAGTCTTGTAATAAATAATGCTAAATGTTTTTCTAAAAAAATATTATTTAAAAAAAAGTATAAAAAATGTGTAAAAATTAATTTTTCAGAAATAAAATTTCAAAATGGTTGCTAAATTTTCATTTCAAATATTGTCATATCTAGGAGTTTGGAGGCCACAATCTTGGACATCAAAATGGTCAATTCGCTTTTACAATATTTATAATTTTATGTTATTAACATTTGAATATTATTATGCACTAACATTTTTAATAAGTGCTGTTCAAAATATTCACAATATGGAAAATCTTTTGCAAAATATATTTTTTTTCTCTTCAATATTTATAATTGCATTTAAAGTCACATACGTCACAATATATCGTGAGGAGATCATTTCATTTACAAATATGTTTTTGGATAAAAAATGTCTTCCCCGCAATGAGAATGAAATTAAAATTTATAAAACTCTTTTGAACAAAGAAAGGTAAACTATTGTTTTAAGAATTTTGTTTTACAATTATTGTAAAATTTAACAGTGATAGTATTTTTAAATCGTGTATAAATTGTATTCTTTAATTATTTAATAGAATAATATGTTTTAATTTATATTTTATTTATTATTATTTTATTAACATAGTTTGTTCCTTTTGGCTGTGATCGAGCTTCTGGCATTCTTCTTTTATAAATTTTACTCCTACACTGTAAAAAAAGGGAGTTAAATTTTAACTCCCCAGGGGATTCTATAAAAGTCGCACCCATTGGGGAGTAAAATAAAGAGAGTTAAAACTTCACACCCAAATGCTAACTTCTCCAAGTCCATACACGGAGAAAAATCTGTTAGGATTAATGCTCGAAATTTTTCATGTACTACTTAGTGTCTATGCTATATTCATAACATCTATACTTCATGCATTATTCGCAACAGATTTCTCTCCGTGTAGACTTAATAATATAAATATATACAATTTTATACATAATTTATAAAGAATTTTATGCACATTTTTCAATTAAAAATTAAGAATATTTAATTTCTAGATTCGACACTCGAATTTTTGTAATTTCTGCATTTCTGACAGCATCATTATATACGTCACTACCATTTACATCAACAGTAAGACCAATCACTTCACTACCATACATCAGTTGGATTCCATTTGTGATTAATTCGAGATATAAATTTTGGGGTGCCTATCTATATGAATGCATTTCTGTTTATTTGGCAACACTCATATTTTCCGCTATGGAAACACTTCCAGCAATTATGATGCAACAAATTTGTATTCAATTGGAAATTCTAATGAGTCGTCTTACTGAAATTCCAAAATTAAGAAAGAAAAAATATTTCTCATCGAATATTCATCAAGAGGAGTATCATCTTTTGAAAGATTGCATTGATTATCACGAATTTATTTTTTCGTAAGTTTAAGGTAATTTTGTTGTACAAATGAAATTAATTGTTCACTTAAAAAGTAGGAGGAAAAAATGTAGTCTATTATTCAAAATTTCATTCTCTCTCTTTTTTTCTGTATAGAAAAAAATTAACTTGTGATGCATGTTGAACAAATACATATATGATTTGATTTTTCGTTTCCGTTTATGGAAATTGGAAAATGAAATAAAATTTAATTGTTTTAAATATTTTTTGATCGAGAATCGCTTGACATGCAAAAGTAAAATTCGGATTAAAATTCTATTTTCAGAATGGAGAAGCAATTGAACAAAATTTTTGGTTTTTTAATTTCCGTACAGTTTTTCGTGTCGACATTAAATTTGTGCACGTCTGGCTATTACATGACAAAGGTGGATGTTGATAATGCACATTTTTGGTTGGCATTATTAATCTTAAGTACATTTGTTTTTCAAATATTTTTGTATTGTTGGTTTGGCGAGTCAATGACTAGAAAGGTTTGTCAGATTAATGATATTCGCACTTTATTCAAATAAATTAAACACACTATTTAATGGAACATAAAAAAAATTTTTTCCCCTTCCAATGAATATATGAAAATAAACGAGTATCTGAATTTTTTAAATTAGAGTTTAGCTATTGGCGATGTAATATACAAAATGGACTGGAATTTATTGAGTACATCAACGAAACATACATTAGTTATAATAATGATGCGTACAATGCGACCAATACAACTCACTGGATCGTCAGTAATTATAATGTCAATTGAAACATTTTTAAGGGTATTTATAATAATTATTATTATTAACTCAATAATTGATAATTCTACCATTTAGAATAAAGAAATTATTTAGAGCATTATTTAGAATTTAAAATTATTATATCTTATTCAAATTCTATAAATTCTAAATAATGACGGAAAATAAAATTGTTATCATTAAGCACCATCTGATACTTATTATAAAATTATTAATTATTTCAATGACTATATATTAATATTTCTTATTTAGATTTTGAAAAGTTCCTACTCAGCTTATAACTTAATAAGGAATTCAAATTAGACGACATTTTGAACTACTGCGAAAAATGTTAAAAGTTTGATTGGATAATAGAGTTAATTTAACTGATTAATTAATTAATTAATTAATTAATAAACTAAATTCATTTAATTTACATTCATTAACACATCTTAACCCCAAAGAAGAAAGTGTTACAGAACGAGAATCAAACTTTATTGTGGAACAGTTTTAGAACTATACTACATTTATTCTGTAACCACTTGTATTATTTTTTCAACGGTGATCATAAACATTAATTTATTCAAATGAATAATATAATTTATTATAAATTATAATTTGTTAATTTTCTTCAGTAAATTTAGAGAAAAAAATTTTAATATACCAAGATTTGCTTGAATTTTTTTTTAATAAAATCCAAAGAAATTATTTATAGGTAGAATATTTAAACTTTTGTTCTTTATCATACAGGACTTAAATAAGTCTGAGGTTTGTATTTAATATTTTCGTTACTAATTCAACTTTGTGGAAATTGTTGCTAATTATCATTTAGAGAATACTATAATTAAAAAGAGAATTATATTTTGCTTAAAAATCCACATAATTTAGAAATTGTAAAGATAAATAAAATGAAATAGACTAAAATCAAAACAACAGACGAAGTGAATCCTCTGCAGTCTGTTCAGCGACTGACTATATATATTACGTTTTATAGAAAACGAAATCGAAACCTACTCCACCATATAAGCCATTAATAGTGTGACAGTTGTGCTGCAATCAATAAGAATTATTTCAAATTCACTAGAACATATAATTCATTATTTATCTTCTGTAATTGTTTCTTCTGTATTCTCAATGATTGTCAAGATTAATACTATATAAATTCCCAGTAAAATATTATATTTTATTATTCGTCACGTTTTTTATTTTTCTCTACTTATATATAAATATTTATAAATATTTATATTTAAATGTTGAACAAGATGAATATAGAATATATATCTACTATAAAATATAAATAATAATATAATAATAATATAATAAATAATAATAATAATATAATAATATAATATATATCTACTAAAAGATTGCATAAATCATCACAATTTTATTTTAATGTAAGTTCAAGCAGGTAATTTAAGAATATAAGAAATCTATATCTCAAGTCTTTATTTTTATTTTTAATTTTAGTAAATTTAATTAATTAATTAATTAATTATATATTAATCGTTGTATTCATTCATTCATTCATTCACTCTCCCCGCAGTCCCCGCACTTCGAAGTTAGCCTTTTGTGTGCGCTTCTGCATTTTATAAAAAAATAAAACACAGTTTTTTGAAAGCATCAAATTGATACTAAAATTTATCAAATTTGTGACAAAAATTTGGATCAATTTGTTATTTGATCCACTTTTTGGCATCAATTCGTTGCAATTTGATACCTTCGAGTTAACTGTGAATAGAAATTCAGAAAATTGAAGAAAACTTGAACAATTGTTAACAAGTTGTCATTAAGAATTTTTTTTCGAAATAAATTAACATTTTATTATACAAAAATTGTAATTGACAAATATCAAATGCATTCAAAGTTTTTTCATTTTTTTTTCTATAAAAAATTATTTGTTTTTTCAACTGGAAATTATGCAGGTTTATTTTCTATTCTCTTGAAATACAAAATTTGAAAATTGTTAAAAAAATTAAAATTAAGAAATGGAAAATAATAACAATTTTGCAAATTTTCTATTTCTCAATCACAATTTTGTTCACAAAAATTAAGAGTTTTTTTTAAAAAAAGAATAAAAAGCTTTAATTAATTTCTATTTCTAATCACAATTTTTTAACAAAATTCTATTTCTTTGCGGAAAAAGGACATAACTTGCAACATATTTCCATTTACAATTTTTTTTGTAGAAATAAAGAAAAAAAATTTCATGGATCACATTTCTTTACAAAATTAAGTTTTTTTTGGAAAAAAATTAACAGTTTATGACAGGGGGGGTCAAAAATTGTTATAATAGTGTAACATAATATATAAATTGCCCCTAATTACGATTTTTAACCCTTTAACGTCAAATTTTTTTTTTCATTAAAATTTTATAAAACTTGGTATTCAGAGGTTTTCGAAGTAGTTAATTGCGAACTTTTTGAAAAATTTATCGTATTTGTTTGAAACTTGTCACTCGGGGGTTTTTGGGGTCTCTAATGACGAATTTAATGTTAGTTTTCAAAACTTTTAAATTTCAGATTCATCATGGTGGAGGATATGGGCATTTTTTTTCAAAAAATAAGGGTAAAAAAAATTTTCAAAATTATAATTGATTTTTTAGGGGCAATTTTTGAGTTCTGTTAAAAAAATTTTTGTCAAAAAAATTTTGCGCATTTCCTCCACCATAATAAATTTGAAATTAAAAATTTTTGAAAACTAACATTAAATTCGTCATCAGAGACCCCGAAAACCCTCGAGTGACAAGTTTCAAGCAAATACGATAAATTTTTCAAAAAGTCATCCGCCATTTTATATCCGCCATTTTGAATTTTGAAAACCCAACATTATATTTGTATTCAGCGACCCCAAAAACCCCCGAGTGACATGTTTAAAGCGAATACGATAAATTTTTCAAAAAGTCGTCCGCTATATTGGATCCGACATTTTGAATTTTCAAAATCTAACATTACATTCGTAATGAGTGACCCCTGAAACACATAATTACTAAATTTCAAGCAAACTTTAAAATTATCAGTTGTCACGGTCACTTCTAATCAATTGCTCATCTTTATCGAATGATTTCAAAGTGTTTTATTATAATTGATTTTTGAATTATTAAAACTTTTGCACATCACTGCCCTTCTTTATTATGTTTTAGATTTTTTTCACAAAATTTCACAAAATATTTATGTTCAAATATCTACCACAACGAACAAAAACTTTTAAAAGAATGCATTAATCATCACAAATTTATATATTCGTAAGTTTTAAAATTATTTATAAATTAAAAATAAAAAATTTTTTTTCCTTTAAATTGCATTAATAAATTGACAATTATCGTGAATAAAAATTTATTTCTAACAAATAATAATTATTTGGTTAATATGGGTAATTATTTTTCATTGAATTATTGTAATATCAAAATAAATATACGTATAATTAATTAATAATTCAGAAATTTAGAAAACTTGCACGGCAAGCTTGTTGCAAGATTACGTGCTAACCGGGATATTAGCAATAAATAAAATTAGATACTATGCGTTGAAAAGTCGTGTGCTTGGTTTCTGAAATTGATGATATCGGATCTCTCTGTAGCTCAATTGGTAGAGCATCCTACCGGCAATAGGAAGGTTCTGGGATCATACCCCAGCGGTGAGAGACGATTCATTTTTTTCAGAAACCATGCACAAAATAAAATATATTTTCAAATATTAATGAAGTATTAATTTTGAAATATTGATTTCTGTCTTATCGATGATAAGCAAAATAAATATATATCCGCTAAATTGACACCTTACCATCTTATAATATTAGATAATAATTGTCAAGAAAAAAGCAGAACGTAATTTTCTTTCTTGATCTTACTTGAAAAAAATTTTTTTTAAAATTGATTTAAATTGTCTAAAGTGAGTAAAAGTAATATTCGACTTTCAGAATAGAAAAACAGTTTAATAAAACTTTTGGTTTATTAATCACTGTGCAATTTTTCATTACCATATTAAATCTTTGTTCGTCTGGCTATTATATAACAAAAGTGAATGTTAATAATCCAAGTTTTTGGTCAGCCTTAGTTATTTTAACTACATTTATTTTGCAAATTTATTTATATTGTTATTTTGGTGAAACCATGACTCAAAAGGTTTGTATTGTTATAAAACAAAATATTTCTAACACTTTTTTAATGAATAAAACAATATGGACAATTATTAAAAAAAATTTATAAACAAAGATTTTAATACTTTTATCTCTCTCAATTCTTTTATTAACAAAATTTGATAATTTACATTCGATAATTTTTTATTCATAATTTCTTCTTATAAAATGTTCAAAAATTTTAGTACAACTAATAAAAAATTATTTAATAAATTAATTTATATAAATTTTATAACTTTGTTTATTTTGATTTAAAAATTTTTTACAAAAGCTGCTCAAGAAATCACACAAATTCAAAGATTTTGTAAGAAAGAGGGTAAAAAGTTTTCTAAAATGAAAAAAATAATTTTCTTTTCATTATAGAGTCTGTATGTTACTAATGTGATATACAACATGGATTGGAATTTATTTGATAAACAAACAAAACAATCATTGTTAATAATAATGATACGAGCAAATCGTCCAATAAAACTATCAGGATCGTCATTAATTATAATGTCCATTGAAACATTTTTCAAAGTATTTGAAACTTTTAATAAAATTTTTTATATCGGTAAAATTTTCCAAATTTACGCCCAGAATAAAATCTATTTACAAGTCATTTTCAAAATAAAAAATAAAACAAACTTTAGATAATATTATTTCATAAATAATAATAATAAATAATATATTATTCTATAATATTTTAAAATAATATTTATTATTATTAATTATTTGCTATTTTTAAAATCTTATATAATTAATAATAATTAATTTTCTACATATTTAGATTTTAAAAACTTCGTATTCAGCTTACAATTTAATGAGGAATTCAAATTGAACGCTATATGAACTTTTTCGGACGTCATGAAATTTACAAAAAATGTTCTTCAAATTGTAAATAATTAAAAGAAAACACTAAAATGATAAAATGTAATAAATTTTTTGTAAACAAGAATATAATTATTTTTTTTGATAATAATAAATATTTCAACTTTATAATACTTTCAAATTTACAAGACTTATTCTTATAATGTTAAAAAAAAAGTTGAAGTGAACTCTCTGGTGTCTGTTAAACGACTGACTAAAGACTTTTACGGGAAAAAAATCGAACCCTACTCCACGGTGAATAGATATTATTTTAGTTGCATTAATCGATAAGAGATGATTATAAATGCACAAGCACTGCAATTATTATTCACTTTTCATAATTACAGTTAATTGTATAGTCTGAAAATGAGAGAAAAACGTATCAAAAATTCTCTTTAATTTTTTTCTCTATTTTTGCACGAAATTTAAATGATACTAAAGACAGTATTATTTCGCACGATGAAGAGATGAACACATTCAATACTCTTCAGTTTGGTTCACAAATTCTTTTGTCGAGCATTTAATATTTTATACTACTTAAAAAATTATCGTATGGAAAATTCTTCATATCTATTATTTTAGTGAATCAATAATAAATTATTAAAATATCAAATTATTTAAATATTAACTTTTTTAAATATTAAATTAACGAAGAATTTCCAAAAATATGAATGTATAATGGTTGCGGAATTTTCATTTAAAATTTTAACATATTTAGGAATTTGGAAACCAGAAAATTTAACATCAAAATGGTCGAATCGCTTTTATAATATTTATAATTTCTTTATTTTGACATTCGAGTATTATTATGCCTTCACTTTTTTGATAAGTCTTTTTCAAAATAGAGACAATGAGGAAGTTCGTTTACAAAATTTATTTTTCTTTTCATCAATATTTCTATTAGCGTTTAAAATCACCTATGTCGGAATATATAGAGAAGAAATTATTTTTTTTAAAAACATGTTTTTGGAAAAGAAGTGTTTACCAAGTAACGATCAAGAAAAGAGAATTTTCAATAGACTTATTGATAAAGAAAGGTTAGTAAAATGTATAAGTGTAAAAAAAAATTTATTTTCTGATTTATTATTGGCTGTGGTGTGCAAGGCATAGAGCGCCCTTTAGTGAATGAGATCAACTGTTCGAATCCCGTCTCCAGGAAAGATAAATACAAATTCTAAAATTTCAAGAATGTATTTTTTGGTTCATATAAAAAAAATATTTTAAAAATTTTTACAAAATAGGTGATACATACATGGTGAAAATTAACGAAACAGATTAAAAATAGGTAAAAAAATTTTAAAAAGGAAAAAAAAATGATAAAAAGGTGACAGTTTGTGATCTTTGGACCTTCTCTTAAAATATTTACTAATTAAAAATACTTTTTTTTTTCTTTAACAAAATAAAATTTAAGTATCGAAGTATAATTTCAGATTCAACTCGGGAATATTTGTGATATTTGCTCTTCTAACCTCCACTTTATACACCCTCCTACCACTAACATCAAATCCAGTGGTTTCATTGCCATACGAATGTTGGATTCCATTTGATATTTCAACAGTATTCAAATTTTGGGGAGTTTATTTCTACGAATGTATATCAATTTATTTAGCGACAATAATATTCGCTTCTATGGAAACACTTCCATCCATAATGATGCAACAAATATGTATCCAATTGGAAATTTTAATATCACGTCTTCTTGAAATTCCAAAATTAAAAATAAAAAGAAAGAATAATTATTTTCATTCGAATTTTAATAATGTTTATCAAGAAGAATTTAGACTTCTTAAAAATTGCATAAATCATCACGATTTTATTTATTTGTAAGCTAATACAAACTATTAAAAATTTCGCAAAAAAAAAATAGTTTTTTAATATTATATGAAAAATTTTCAATTTTACAGAATGGAACATCAATTGAATAAAATTTTCAGTTTATTGATTTGTGTACAATTTCTTGTGTCTACATTAAATTTGTGCATTTCTGGTTTTTACATGACAAAAGTGAATGTTGGCAATGCATATTTTTGGGTGGCATTAGTGAATTTAAATACATTTATTTTTCAACTTTTTCTTCAATGCTTCTTTGGAGAATTAATGACTCGAAAGGTTGTTTATTTATTCTATAAAATACCTATTAAAAAAAATTATTAAATTCAAGAAATAGGGGCTTATTCGTATGCACTTTTAAATAAATAAATGAATAAAAATTTTGACTCTATAAAACATATTATTAGTATTATTTATTCTAAAACCTATTTATAAGTTTATTTTTTAACTAAAAAATTTGTATCAATATTTAATGATTTTTTAATTTAATTATTTATTTATTTTAATTTGTTTTTGTAATTTTTATTTATAATTTCAATTTTTAATATTTTAGAGTTTGTCTGTTGCCGACGAAATATACAAAATGGATTGGAATTTATTAAATATACAAAGTAAGCAAAAATTAATATTAATTATGATGCGCGCTAATCGACCAATGCAGCTCACTGGATATTCACTAATTACCATGTCAATTGAAACATTTTGTAGAGTAAGTAAATAAATTATTTTAAATTTACTCCCTGGAAGGAAATTAAACACTTAAATAATTCAAACAATTATTTTTTTAGATCCTAAAAACTTCTTATTCAGCTTTTAATTTAGTTAGAAATGTAAACTAAGCTCTGTATTATTCTGAAGAAATTGCGTATATTTAAAAAAAGGCTGACAATTTTTTTCATTGTCACTTTTTTTTGGTGGAGGATTGGTATTTTCTTGTCAGTATTTAAAAAAAACTATAATTTTTATCTCAATGCGTTATGTATCTATTATATCAATAATATTTGTAAGTATAAGTTAATCCTTGTTTTTGTTGAAAAATATTATTCTTATTATTATAAAAGGAAGGTATGGAAAAAATTGTTTAAAAATCACATTTTGACGATATTTTGTTTTAAGTGTAAAAGTATATTTTTATAATCAACATATTAATAATTATAATTCTAATCAATATTTTTTTATTTAAAGAAAAGAGTGATTCTACTGTTATTATAAATTTTTGGCGCTAATATTTGTAAAAAGATATTAAGAAATAAATTTTCTAGAAATTTACATATTTCAACATTTAATTTAATAATTTAGATATATTTAAGAAATAAAATCATTTTTTTACTCTGAGTGAAATTCTATCTGACTTGAAAATATCTTTTTAGTATTTTTTCTTTCCCATGACAAATATTCAACTTTTCACACCCAAAATGATCCGCCTTTAAGCAATTTAGATTTATGACCATTATGCTTACATAGATTTTAAATCTGATTTTTTTCAGTTTCTAACCGTGAAATATAAGAAAACTAAAGTGCCATACGATAGTTGAAATGAACCATTCAACATTTTTGAAGATTAGTCTCGACATGTCTTTTTTGAAAGTCTCCTTAAAAACATTTTAAGGATTTGTATATTCCTTATAGTAAGAAAGTGCATATAAACGAAATATTTCACATGGGGAAGTTCTCTCTCAATTATTCATGCGCAGGATAAGCGCCTTACTACTGATCTCCCGATCGTCGGGAATGTATTAACACATGTGTCTCTCCGCCTATACCATTCAGCAGTCATGCAGATTAATGCGATACAAATTATTCTTTTCTTTTAGACACACAAAAAAAAAGAAGAAAAAGAAAAAAAATTAAGACTTTCAAAATATTGTTCAACAAAAAATTCTCTACATATAATTACAGTATTCGATTTTTTTTTCTGTTAATACCTCATTTATAAACATTATTATATGCTCAAGTATAAAAGGCAATTCTTTTTTTCAAGCAATTCATAAGAGAAAAATAAAAAAAAAATGTATTTTTAACGCCTAAGTTATAAATTAACCCTAGAGAAATAATTCCCACTGTAAAATTAGTTTGATAAATTTTCAGAGCTGAAAATTTATAAATTGTAATTTTTAAAATATCTTTTTATAAATTGTAATTTTTAAAATATCTTTTTAAAAATTAATATTATTTTTTGTTTATAAGAAAATTATTATTAGCAGCAAATAATGTTCTTCAAAGAAAAATATTCTTAAAAAAGTACTTAGGTACAAAATTTTTATTATCAGAAAATAATTAATTAGAAAATTATTATTTAGCAAAAATAATTTATTACTTAAAAAACCTATTATTATTATTTATTTATTTACGAGCATTTAGCTAAACAGGAAAATTTTATTTTTTATCTGCAACAGTTATAAGTTATAAGTTACAAGTTTCTCTAGAATAACGAAACTATTGACTGAAACAACTAAAAATGTTTTTAATATAGTAAAATTTGCAGCTATTCCAAGTGAAGATTTTTTTGGTTAATTGTATTTGTTTGAAATACTGAAATTATTGATTCAAACACAGAATTTATTTGATTTAATAAATAATTAATAATTAAATAATTGATTCAAGTAAATATTTAGAGTAGAACGGGGTGAAAAAGTCATTTGACTTTTATTTAAAAACTGTTAAACCGATTCATCAGCCATTTAGAATAAATATACTATTGGGTAATATGCAACTTTTGATTTTAGTTTGGAAGTTGTAACTATATAGTAATATAGTTTTTATTGTGATTTTAATTTTTGAGTTGCTCTGCGCAAAACATTTCGATGAACTTTTCGAACATATTACAACCTGTTTAAGTGAACGGGTAATAAAAGTAAATGTTTGTACATAAAGAGAAAACTATACTCAAAACGTATACAATGTTAATTTTTGGAAATTGAACTAAATTTAAAATTTATTATAGCTTTTAGAAAAACTGGTCTTGGGGTTAAAAAAGCCAGGGACAAAAATCCATTGAATATTATGTGAAATTCATTTGTTTTCTACTTAAACTATTAACCTTCTAATTTTACAAAATTTTCGCGTGTTTACTTAATAAAATTAATTAAACACGACGAAAAAATAGTTAAATTTTCCTTTCTAAAAGCTCTTTAAAATTTATTAAAATATTTTAAAAATAAGATTATTTGTCATATAAATAAAGAAAAACTATAAAAATACCAAAATTAATAACATATTTTGCTAAAATCGCGAGGTGGCTTTTTCCCCTCACCAGATGGTACAAAAAAGCCACTTGCAGAGCTTTCGTAAGACTCTTATAATTTAGTCCTTTCATGGGATAAAAAATATTTCTGTTTAGAATATTCAAGGTTAATAACTAAACTTTCAATGCCAATTGGAAATATGAGAAAAAAATTTTAAATTCAGATTTTATAGCGTCAAATGTAAAAATGTGGCTTTTTCACCCCGTTCTACTCTACTTGACAATAGACAAGTGATCGGTAATTTGAATAAAAAAACTTTTTTCTAGTGTATAATATACACTAATATACAAAAACTTCTTTTTCTAAGTTATAACCTGTCTACCTGTCAAATTTTCATCTCATTTGTAGGATTATATTTTAAGAAATCAAAAATTCTTAGAACGGTTCCAAAATGCTCATCTTTCATTGAAATTACCAAACTTATCAGATTTGTTAAATAATATGAGCCAATTATGTATTTTCGATTTTGTTTAAATAAGTAGAACTAAATAATTTACATATATAATCCCATATATAATTAAATAATATAAGACAAATTATTTTTTGGTTATAAATTATTATCTTAGAAGCAAATTATCATTTGCAAATAAAAATTTACTTTAGAAGCCAATTATTTTTAAGAATAACAATTTAAATAATAATTACAAGTTAATAATTTTAATAATTACCTACTATTAATTTTCTCCTAAATTGCATTTTTATAAATTCGTTTTTAATAAAAATTAGAATCACAAAATATCTTGAATTTTCACAATTCAATTAAAAAGCAAAAGAAATCTATACTAATATGAATTGGTTAAAAATGTTAAAAATATTGTTTCTTTTATATCCTTAAAAATATATTCAATTTTGCTTGCAAATTTTATGTTCATTTAGGAATAGTTTCATTCTTAGTGTAATTAAAAAAAAATTGAATATTATTCTTATGTTAATTTGTGTATATTCCTGATGATTATAGTTTGAATTTGAAAATTTAGGTAAAACTTGCTTTGAAAATAAGCATTTAATTCACAATTTTCTTGAAAACAAAAAATTTTTTTGATCCAAACTTTTTCCTATATATTCAATTCGTCAATTCAATATTAAAAAACTAATTTCTCAGTTTTTCTTTAAATTGTCGCTTGACCCCTTCTGTCATGCTCCCTTTCATTTAATAATTTAAATAAAAAGTTATTTGCTAGTTAATTATTATACATTGTGCAGTTACAAACTACAGCTGTTGTATAATTGTATAATTATTTTGTTACAATATTTTTAAGTAATTTAATTTCCAAGTACAACTTGTAAGTTACATATTTTTTGTTACTTCTTACAAACTGTTATCTACATTTTTCTATTACTTAACTGTAACATAATTATTACGCAACTGTACCAAAACAATGTTATTTCACAGTGACTAAATTTTAAGGTAACAATTTAGTCACAAATTGTGTATAATTATTTTGTTACTGTATTTTTACGTAATTCCTTTTTCTTGTGCAACTTGTAGACTATTTTTTTGTAACTGTTACAAACTGTTACCAACATTTTTCACCTAAGTAACTATTACACAACTGTTACGTAACTGTGTCAAAACGATGTTATTTCACATAGATTTTTACTGCAATACAGCATTACGATAACAAGATATTCACAAATTTTTTATAAATGTTGTTACAGTATTGTTATCTAATTATTGTAACTGTTGTTACAACACTTTTTCGTATAACCCTCATTTCAACCTTTATTCCTCTACCTGTATGCTAATAAATACCTTACCCTTTCTTCAAACGAAAAATCATAATCTACCTAATAATCAAAATCAAAATAATTGTCCAACAAAGAATTTACAACAAAACGCCTGAAAATACAAAAGAAACGCAATAAAAATTTCCCATTGTTAACTGTTTGTTCTCGCGAAAAGACTTCCTTCTCGATCATATCTATGTACGCTAAATTGCTGAGCGGCAGCGTACATTGAACTCCTATATAGAAGAGTTCGAAAAAACATTCGAGTGGAAGTGACAAACAATATTCAGCCAATGTTTTACTATATAGATAAAGCGCGTATAGTCTGAACAGAAAAGTGTGTCATGACCTGAAAGATGATTCCGTTATTCAGGCTTGGTCTTGAACTTTTCTTCTTCCTCAGTCTTGACTGGGAAGTCAAGTTAAGATGATTCCGTTTCTTGTGTACATCAGCTTTTTAATCGGTGCTCGCGAAACAGCACCGGTGAACAATGGAGGCTTAGCTAGTTTCACATCTGTCTTGGGTTTGACACTTCTGCCCATTGGATTTGCTGCAGGTCCCAGGTACTTGAAAGAATCTTCCTGGACTAAATCATCTTTGATTTTTGTTTTCTATATTTTAACACCCTCATTAAATATGAGAAAGAAATGGTAACAATCACCCCACAATTACCCTAATCCGTCAAGTGAAAGATTGGCTAGTGACAAATTTGATGTGCTCAACGGGATTACAAGTGCAACCAATGTTTTAAAGATTTTTTGATTTCAAATCTTTTCGTACTTTGGTACTTTAGTTCTGTGGTGTTTTTTTTTATATATTTGTCATCTTTATTATCATTCTACTTTGCTTATCTTTTTATATCTTTATAGTTTTTTAATCATTTTAGACACCTTTTCTACTTTTTTGTTGTTGTTATTTTTTGGTGACTTTGGTATTTTTGGAAGCTGTATTATTTTTCTACTTTTTTTATTTCTTCAATCTTCGATTATCTTTGCGATTTTGTTATTTTTTCTACATTTCGTATTTTTATCACCTTTGCTATTTTTCAACAGTTATTTATTATACCTTTGGTATTTTTGGGACCTTTTGTATTCTGATATTTTGGATATTTTTGCAATTTGTCTATTATTATTTTTTCTACTTTTGGTATTTTTTACACCTTTGCTACTTTTCAAACCTAAGGATTTTTGTCACCTCTTCTAGTATGTTTTTTAATTTCATATTTTCCAGTATTTCTGGTAATTTGATAAATTTGGTATTCTTTTACCGTTATTTTACAACTTCTTAGTATTTTTGGTCCATTTCCTACTTTCTTGTACTCTCAGTACTCTATTTTGTAGTAAGTTATTCTTCTGCTCTTGACATGAGCATTTTAAGTATTTTTTTTCTTACTAATAGAAATTTTGCACTTTGGTACTAGTATTAGTATTATTATAGTATTACTAATAATTATAATTCCAACTCAAATCGCTTACAGATGAAAATACTCACAAAAATACTAACGGTACCAAAATACAGTAAAATGTGCAAAAAAAGCCGGAAGCATTAAAAATTCAAGTGGCACCAAAAGTAGCACAATGATCAAAAATAGTAAGAAGCGTAGAAGTTCAAAAATTATCAAAAGAGAATAAATAAGAGAAAGTGTCACATAATATTAATAAGTGTAAAATTAGTGAAAATTGGTACAAAAATATCAAAAGTACCAACAATTAAAGTAATACTAGAAATATTGAGAAGATTAAGGACAGAAAAGATAGTTTAAAATGAACAAATTTACCAAAAATACCACAAGTACCAAAAATACTGAAAAGAAAATATGTACAAAAAATGCCAAATGTCAAGTATAGTACCAAAGAATTCCATGTTGTATGTGCTGAATAGTGCTAAATAGTGTTAAATAGTAATAAATAGTACCCAATTGTTCCAAGAAGTACCAAATTGTTTGAAATAATACCACATGGCGCCAAGTAGTACCAAACGATTATAAAAAGTACAAATTGGTACCGAATAGTCCTAAATAGTATCAAACGGTACGAAATCGTACCAAATGGCCTAAATTGATTCAAAATAGTACAAAATAGTCCTAGACAGAATCAAATAATTTTTAATATTGACAAATAGTCCTAAATAGTACCAAAAGGTACAAAAACGAACTAAATGGTCTAAAATGATTCCAAATAGTACAAAATAGTGCCAAATAGTCCTAAATAGTACCAAATTTTGTCAAGTAGATACAAATGATTCCAAACTGTACAAAATACTGCCAAACAATTCTAAATGGTACTAAATAGTTCTAAATAGTCCTAAATAGTACCAAATGGTAGAAAAACGTACCAAATGGTCTAAAATGATTCCAAATAGTACACAATAGTCCTAAGCAGTATCAAATTATTTTAAATAGTGCCAAATAGTATTAAATAGTACCAAACGGCCCCAAATTGTGCCATATAGATCCAAATGATTCTAAATAATACAAAATAGCGCCAAACAGTTCTAAATAGTGCTAAACATTTCTAAAAAGTATCAAATGGTACCAAATTACATAAATAATTATAGTTTCGTTACTAATCACCTCTATAGATGTCTAAAAATCATTATCGCCTTAGAAGAAACTTTCCAAATTATAAGTAAACTTTTAGACCTCATAATTATAAACAAAATAAATGATTCATAAATATTGCAAATATAAAAACGATTTTTCACAGATACGTGCCAAAGTGGAAGAAGCAGGCATGTGAACTACCAGCAACACAACTTCCAAATTCACACTATGTTTGCGATGAAGCCGGGGAAGTCAAGTGTCTACCGGGTAAGTCAAGGTGAATTGGACCTAACTCTCGTGTTTGAAGAAAATGGATCGCGATTCTGTCCATACAACTTAATTCGATCAATTTGTCGATATCAGGATGGACCGGGGATCTCTGTGACGTTCCATTATGTCGAAAGGGATGCGACCCTATTCAAGGTTACTGTCGAAGGCCCGGTGAATGCCGCTGTAAATTGGGATTCTATGGTGATACCTGCGGTAAATGTGTCGCTCTTCCTGGCTGTCAACATGGCAGGTAGACTTCGTTTATCTTGATCTTTCATTTTTCTCCTTCCTCTCGAATTAAAATTCTCTATATATATTATACATACATATTGAGTCATTAAAGGCAGTTTTTTATTTTTTTTTCTTTGGAAATTGAGATGTAATCTTTTCCGGCAAAAAAAATTTCAATCTTTATTATTTTAATAAATGTAAAAAATTACAAATTATGAAACTCTTCTTGAATATTATACTCATCTTCCATATAGGAAAAGCAAAAAGTCACTCACTGATTAAAATAAGTTAAAATTTTAACTGATTCAAATAATTTAGAGAGTATTTATTAATTTCTTTTGATCCTAATTAAGAAATAATAAAAATTGTAATTCATAATTTCAAAAAAAAAAAATTTCTGCAAATGACGAGTGTAGTTAATTTCTAGTACAATAATAATAATAATTGTCATTTATAACGGTTCATACGGCAATTGTATTATATACTCTATTAACGAAATACATTATTCTCAACGGTATTTTTACACATATAAGTTTGCTTTCACCGAAGATGATCGGTGCGTCCCAATTCTAGTGCGTACATATGTATTTAGTTTGATATAATTATACATATACGAATCTGGACATGCAAAAAATTGTCATTCACTTTGTGTTATTAGAATATTAATTTTATATCTGATTGAAAAAAAATTTCCATTAATTTCACTCCATGGGGATTACTGTAGATAAAAATCTTGTTTGCAGATGTAATGTGAGCTTTGAGTGCGCTTGCGACCCTGGATGGAAGGGATTATTTTGTAACGAGCCCGCTTGCGCTTCTGATTGTAATCCTAGCCAAGGATATTGTGACAGACCTGGCGAGTGCAAGTGAGATATTCAACGTTATTAAATTTTATTCCTTAGAACCATAGTGATCATTAAAAAAGAATTATTTCAAGTATTTCAACAATTAGCTTGTTTTAGTATGTCAACATTGAGCCAATATTGACCCAAGATTTCAAAATGCAGAAATTAACTCGATAACAAATTAAAATTATATGTATTATACTTTTTAAATTTTAATCTTGTCAGTAAGAACTCAATAATTCAGTCAACAATTATTCATCTTGGTAATTTATCATTATCATTTATCATGTTGTAAATTTTCTATAGAATTTCTGGATTTCTTTCGAAAACTACTTACGGGGGACAGTTTTTAATTTGACTTTGACTTTCGACTTGATTTTTACTTTGACATTGACCTTCACCTTGATTATAAATTTGACTCTCACTTCGATTTCTATTTTGACATTGATTTCTTGACTTTAACTTTCACTCTCACTTTAACCTTTACTTCGACTTAAAATGATTTAAGTCAAAATCAAATCAAAAGTCAAAGTTATAATCAAAAAATCAATGTCAAAGGAGAAATTGAATTGCAAGTCAAAGTTAAAGTCAAGAAGTTTATGTCAAAGTCAAAGTCAAAATCAAAGTAAAAGTCTAAGTGAAAGTGAAAGTGTGAGTCAAAATTGAATCTAAAGTCAAAGTTATAGTTAAAAAGTCAATGTCGAAAAAGAAATTGAATCGAAAGTCAAACCTAAAATCAAAAAGTTAATGTCAAAGTCAAAATCGAATCGAAAATCAAAGTTAAAGTCAAATAATCAATGTAAAAATCAAAATCCAATCGAAAGTCAAAATCAAAATCTAAGTGAAAGTAAAAGTCAGAGTTAAAGTTAAAGTCAAAATCGAATCTAAAGTCAAAGTTATATAGTCAAAAATTCAATGTTGAAGTAGAAATTGAATCGAAAGTCAAAGTCAAATTACAAAAATCAATGTCAAAGTCAAAATTGGGAGTCAAAGTAAAAATCAAATTCAAATAACAAAACTGCACCCCGGAAGTTACTTCCGAAAATTTTCTGAAAACCTTTCCACATGGATAATTACTAATAAATCAAAAAATTAATTAAACAATCAGTTTTCATTTGAAACACCATCTCATTAATGATGAGAATGCAAGAGTCAAAAGCACCGCTATTTTAAGGATTAAAAAAAAATTCAACCGTTATTGAAAAAAGCAATTTTTCTCTTCACCCTGAAAAATTCGAATGCAACAGATGCAGACTCGGTTGGCAGGGTCCAAAATGTAAACAGTGCGCCGTTTTGCCGGGATGCGTTCATGGAAGTTGTCAAGGACCTCTCGAATGTCGCTGTGATCCAGGATGGACAGGACTCTTGTGTCAAACTCGTAAGGGTCCTTTAATATTCATTCATATCAACTGAGTCATGTGTTTCGAGAGCACGTAAAAGATAAAAATCATATTTACACAGAAAATGTGATACATCATTTTCTACACTTCAATCCCTCCATTTCAAAGACAAACATTGCGCAAGCTTTTCTCACAGCTGTCACATCACACTCCGATTAGCTCCTCATTGTTATTACTACTTCTTTTTACAATCCACATTTAATCCCCCTTTAAAAAAGGAACCAACAAAATAGCAACATTTCCTTAAGGAAAATTAGAAATTTTGTTTTTTCAATTCTAGAAATTGTACTTTTTATAAAAATTCCCTGATTTTTCCCGGATTTTCCTGATCAATTTTTACTTTCTCACACTTTTCCATAAAATCCCTGATCTGTGACAACCTGCAAAATGTTGAATGGCACCGAGACGCATGATTATTCCCGAAATTCTATTATTGAAATAATAGTTTATTGATATAAAATTCATTTAACATAAAATTTATTTGACAAAAATATCATTAGACATAAAAATAAAGGCCCGAATTTTAAAATTGTCCAATAAAAATTTTCTTAGTATTATCTGATTGGTTACTTTTAAAATTTGTGACAAAATTTTTATGTCAAATGAAATGTATATCAAGTAGATTTTATGTCAAATCATAAAAATTATGTTAAATACTTTTATTTCAAATGAACTTTATGTCAAATGAGGTCTCTTAAGTTGGCGTCGACATTTAGCGTCGAAAATTATTATTTGAGGTGTTTAGAGATATAAATTTCACTAATTTAACTTCTTTTATTCGCCTATAGAGTCAAATAATTTTAAGGCACTTTTGTAATATAAAATTTGCAAAAAGATGGTTTATTTTTTTATGCCAATTTCAGAATGATATATGAAATGAATTTTATGTTGAAAGAAACTTATGTCAATTGGAATTCATGTCGATTGATTTTTATGTTAAATGATACTTATGTCAATTGATTTTTATTTTAAAAATGAAAAGGTCAAATGGGAATTATGCTAAATGAGTTTTATGTCAAATTAAATTTATTAAATAAATTTTATGTCAAATGCAACATTTTATGGCATGTAGATTTTATGTCCAATTAAATTTATGTTAAATATGGTTTTATGTCAAACGACTATTACGTCAAATAAGCTTTTGTGAATATTCATGCGTCTCGGTACTATCTTCTCTAAATAATTATTTTATTTTCGAAGGATTATTGTTTGATTTCAATAAAATAAATATTTATTTATTATTGAAAATGACATGACGTTAAAATTTAAGTCAAATTGACCGAGTGTGACAACAGCGTGGCAAGAATAAACTCCTCAAGTTAAATTCATTTTTAGTTTACGTCAAAAGGACTAAAATTTCTGGTGACAATTTTAATTAGTCTAATATAACTATCTTCTTAGTTATTTTTTTTACTAATAAATAATGAGTTATTTTTCAGTAATATTTAATTGTTTTTTTAACTAAAAGCAGAAGCCAAAGTCAGCTAAGATTTTACTAAAAATAAATAGTTATTTTAGACTAATAAATTCAAGTTTATAGACTATCAGAGGAACGTAAAAGTTAAAGGTTCCAGAGATATGCCCTTATACTTTTAGTACATAATAATAATAATAATTTTAATTCTATACTTTAAGTACAGAATGATAATTTTAACTCTATACTTTTAGTACTGAATGATAATTTTAATTTTATACTAAAATAAGAAAAGATTTAAATCCAGTATAGAAATACCCTCACAAAAGAAAAAATGGTTAAACTATGCATTAAATGCTTGTAGGTCCATTTACCAATCTCTTTATTATATTATATACAGCACTTTACTGCAAATATTCCATTTAAATAACATGCTCTAAGTACAAGCAACAATTTCTAAAGACGTTAATGAGAATTTTACAATTCCTCAAACGATAGAGAAGCAATAAACATTTTCAGCAAGGATAAAAGGAAATTTTATGATTTAATTAAAGGAGAGCGCTAAGCTAATAAATTTCAGAAGACTTGTATTTAAAGCAAAGGAAGAAGAGGAAAAAAACGCATCATATCGATATAATGATGCCATAAAATTGGAAATATTTAATTTTTCTTTTTTTCCTCCCCCTTCTTTTTTCGCAGCGGTATGTGCTCAAGGTTGTAGTCGAGAACACGGCGGTTGTCGGAGGCCAGGAACTTGTAGGTGTCGAGTAGGCTGGACGGGTCCGAATTGCACAGAGTGCGTTCCTTATCCTGGCTGCGTTCATGGTACCTGCAAAAGGCCGTGGGAATGCAGATGTCAGCCAGGCTGGACAGGGGACCTTTGCGAAGAAAAACTCACCTACTGCGAGCAACATGATGACCTGTGCAAAAACAATGGCACCTGCATCAGCATGACGAAAGAAGATGGCAATTACAGGTGATTAATTTTATCTTCTCACATTGTCACTCAAAGTCTTCCAAAAAAAAATTTATTTTTTCTTCTCTTTGCAAAATCATTTCAACTAAGTATATTTCTTTTAGTCGCAAATTATGAATGAATCGTAATTTTATTTATGGCAAAAAAATTACGAATTTCAGAAATGAATAATGAAAGAGATAATGGAATTTTTTTTCATCTCAAGAAATATTAACAGAAGGGAAAATTTGCGTGAGAAGAAATCATTCTTTATGCGCACATTGTGTATAAAGTTGCGGAAAAAATTCTGTAATAACTGATTTAGATTAAAGAGAAACATGTTCTGGAACTAGTGAGGAACAGGTGTGGGTAGAAATTACCCTCTTAGGGTAGAAAAAACAGTAGCAATTCTAGGACAATGTTATGTTACATTATAAATTCAGAAAAATTGTAACAAGTTTAAAAGAGTATTAATTCCTACACAGTAAAAATTTTTTCGGGGAAAATTCCCAAAAAGTCTGTTGGCGCAAAAGACACTATACTTTTTGTTAATATTCCCCACAAGTTTCAGGAAAAAAATTTCCCTAATAAATTGTTGAATATTCCCTAAGACTTTTTAGGGAAAATTTTTCAACAGAATTTGGGATTTTTTTCCTAAATTTACTTTAAAATTTTTTAATTTATTATTTATTAGGAAATTATTAGTGTAATTAACTTTATGACAATGCTTCTGAAATGATTCTGAAACAAGAAAGCAGTTTTGTTACAATAGCAAAAATATAACATTAATTAAATATCACATCAATAAAAAAATTTAGTATATTTTTCAAAATTTAGTGGAAGTTTTATTAATTTTTGGGTAATTTTTCCTAACTTTTCAAACAGTTCTAAACATAGTATTCTAGAACATATTTCAGTAAAAATATAAATTTTTAAATGTAGTTAAAAGAAATTTTTAAAAAATGAAAAAATAATAAAAAAAAAAAACACTGAGCAAAAGTGTGAATTTTACATGAGATAATAAAAATAAAATAAGCAATAAAAATAAACAAACACAAAAATTCTTTTCTGTTTAATTAGATGCATTTGTCTACTTGGCTTTTCCGGTCGTCAATGTCAATTTGAAATGCAAATGCCGGATATGGAATTGAAACCACCAAAACCAGATGCACTTCCTCAGTCGGGAATTTCAAGTGTTATTGAAGAAATGTTAGGTAAACCGCAAACGGATATCAATGGAGAAAAGGAAAAAGACAAAATTTCAAATAATAATAAGAAGCCGAGTGTTGAGCTCATAAAACCAATTGTTATCACGACCGCTCCGGAAATTGATCCTGCGGCTACAGCGGGCAAATGGCCCACGGAACCACCTACAGATTTGCCGTCAAGCGAAAGAGACGTTGAAAATGAAACTTAAAAGCCAATTTTTCCCTAAACGGACAACAAAGAAGAAGAAGAATTTCTCAAAATCAGTTATTATTTCATGAATTCCTCAAAGGTTAATAACTACTTCAGTTCTTATATAAGATATCCTACAATGGATGATTTATTTAAATTAAAATCTTTTCGAATTTTTTATTTTCATACTCTCTGAATCTGAATTAGTAAAAAATCGTCCACTAATTTTTAGTCACTGCTTAAAGACGAAATTTTTTTACTAATTTCTGTCATTTTTTATTTTTAAAAAATAGTAAAAATATTGAACAGAAATTGTCAAAAGTCGTTCAATAATTAAAATTAGTAAACAACTTTACTAATTTCAGTCATTTTTCACAAAAAAATAATTAAAAAATAGTAAACAAAATTAGTTACAAATATTGTTAAAAATCGTTCACTAATTAAAATTAACTAAAATTTAAACAAACTTTAGTTACTAAAAAAATAGTAAAAAAATGAATAGTATAAAAAGAATAATAAACTAATTTCAGTCTTTTTTCACTACAAGAAATAGTACAGAAACTGTCAACTACCTAATAAAATAGCGTTAAATTCAATAATAAAAATTAGTATTTGCTTTTTGTTGGAACCGATTTTGTAATTATTATAAAATAAAAAAGTTGGGTCCAAACAGGATCTTGGATCCAAATATTTTTGTCACTAAAAATTATTAAAAATTTTACTAAATTTAATTACTGGACGATTTTTTGCTACATCATTTAGTGAGTTCATTTAGAGAGTAAAATGAATTTTCATTTTCTTACTAAGTATTAGATAATTATTTTTATCAGTTTTCTCATTGACTTGTGATAATGTAAATTACTAAATTATTTACCAATATCTCTTATTTTAATACAAAATAACAGAGGACTTTATCGAAAAAATATTTGAATGTAGATAGAAATTTACCATTTTTCAAAAGAAATATTTCCAATTTCCAAACATTCTAGACTTAATATTTATTTTCGAAAAAAAAATTTTCATTTTTGATTCTCGAAAGAATATAATAGTTATAATTTATTATTTATTTAATCTTAGTTACAAGGAAGAAGTAAAATTTACTTAGGACAGCTGAAACATTCACTAAAATAACTATCCAACTATCGCTGCTTTAGTAAAATATTTACCACTTCCAGTAAATGTTTTAGCTATACCTGCGTGTAAATATTTATTTACGTGTATTATTTCTGTATTTAAAAACCACGACTCATCACATGTAAAATACAAAGAATTACAACAATGTTCATATAATATTATACACGTATTATAAAAGGCAATATCATCATTGTGTTTATAATTATATAATAATTTTTATAATTACAATAAAAATTGTTATAATTGTATTTAATTATTTATATATTTATAATATTTTAATATAGTTATAGTTTATGCTGATATTTGTGGACGTCCGCATGAAAAGGGACCACTTTGTCGGTTCTAAATTCCGAGATATTCGCAATTTACTAATTTTGAAGAAAAATATCGAAATTTTTTTTATCCTTTTTTCTTAATCTACAGGGTCTACCACGTCGATTCATGCAGTTTTTATTAATTTATTGACACTCTAAGTATTTTATTTCGTTGTTAGAAAAAAAAATGAAAAGGGACCACTTTGTCGGAAATCTGTTATTTTTTCATTGTTTCAAAACGAAGGGAGGGAAAAATTCGAAACCTATTGATTTTCCATCTTAAGGGTGTACTAGTCTTAAAACAACTATTATCTGAATAACTTCCTAGAAGAACCACAGATATTCATATTACAATCTTTGATTTCGTTTTTCTCGAAATGACGTATTTGATACTCCAAACTTTAAAATTCTGTAACTCATCGAATTTTTCACCAAAAAGGTTGTAAGACCACTCAAAATTTTCCAAATTTTGTCAGAAATTCGCCCATATAGATAAGTCCAATAGTGCCAAAGTGGTCCCTTTTCATGCGGACGTCCACATTTATTGTCGACAACAATCATAAAACTTCAATATTAAAAAAAAAATAAAGTTACAATTATTTATTTCGAAAAGAATAATTTTTTAATTTTTATACAGGCACTAAATTTTGTGCTTAAGGGGCTATCCATAAACTACGTAATCAATTTAGGGGGAGTGGGTTCAAAAATCTATAAAATTGTATTTAACGCAATGGTATCAAGGCGGGGAGGTGTAAAAAGTAAAAAAATACACTTTAGTTTATTGAAGCAGAATTTGTTGAATTAAGTTTCTTTAATATTGATAAACAAATAATTTTGCAGACTTTGCTTCATTCTGAAAATTGTTGCGATTTTTTCTATTCTCTGTAAGAAAGGAATTGTTACTTCTGACGACAATTAAAAAAATTTCTTTTGCACTAAAAATTTCACTTATACGTGTGCTTATAGTACTCGTTGAAAAATTTCTTGAGTTGATTTTCCTAATTATATTAATAAACAAATGATTGACAGACTTTGTTTCTTCATAACAAACTTTTCAAGCTTTTCTAAACGGAAAAAAAATTTTTATGAACAGCAATAAGTTTATCTATAGAATAGCGAAAGTCTAAACATAAGTCAACATTAAAAAATTTACTTTTATGTATATATATATATCAATTGGGGAAGTAGATGTAAAATTGTTCGTAATTGTTTTAGCCATCAATTATGCTATTTGAATTAACTTCAGTATTTGATTGTTTAACATAAAATATACATATACTTAAAAACGTATAGAAATCATTATAAGCAGTTGCAGAAGTAAAAATCAGTAAAAATAATTACAAGCAGTTGCAGAAATAAAAATAATATTTTCTTATGTTGTGTTATTAAACAATAAAATAAACACACATATGCTGTGTATAATATATCAAATCTGGCAGAAGAATAGCCAAGAAAGTATTTATCAATACGCGTAAAAATTACGTAAGGTCCATATAATCGATACTCTCGATGCATAAAATGATCTACGTGGGTATGTTATATGTAGAACATGTGGTCATCCAACTGTAACTAAAGAAGTTTATGAATTAATGATTTCTCAGGATGTCAAATGTACTTTGGCTTTATGTGAATTACATTTCTTTAAAATCCCGCATGGCGAAATTGTTTCAACCCTTTCCGGATGTAATATTTTATCGTAAAAAATTGTAAATATTACATTTTCGCAACTATTTCCTATCTTTGTTTTAAAAGCAGTTTTTTCAATTTTCATACTTCTTGAGGAAGTTAGTGACATTTTTCCCACAGTGTCCAAAACTTGCAGCAATACTATCAAAATTGCATCAATATTTTACAGCAACATAGAGAAAAATTTTGTTTATTTATTTATACTCTTCTTTATTAATATTTTTATTTCTTGTTGATACAAAAATTTATTTATATTTACACTGAAAAAAATCTATTTGATCCAAATAACCGATTACTTGACTATTATCAATTAAATATTTAATTGAATCAAATAATATTTATTGGAGTCAATTAAATGGTATTTGCTTCAAACACTGAAATTATTGGTTCAAATACCATTTAATTGGCTCCAATAAATATTATTTGATTCAAGTAAATATTTATTTGGGTTATTTGAATCAAATAATTTTTTTACAGTGCAGAAACGTTAAAATATTTTTTAATTTTTTTTTATTTCTTGGTGCTACAGTAAAATTTATATAGTGAAATTTCTAATGCCAAAGGAATCCTTTTTAATGAATATGAAATTCTACAGAATGTTCACTAGATTTCATGTAAAATCATTCTATGGAATCATTCTAGTAAAATCCTACAAAAATTTTTCGACTGGGAACGAATAAAAATAGTTCTAAAAAAATCTCTATACAGAAATCGAAAAAACATATTTAATTCAGAGTTTTGCTCCAACTTTTAAGAGAAATTCGTTAAAAATTTAAAGAACCTTTAGTAAAGCATTTGACAGAAGGAGAAAGAGCGAGAGAGAGTGAGAGAAGAACAGAGAGAGGGAGAAACGTAAGTTATTTGAAAACTCTACATAAAGGTTTGCTTATCTTTTAAATCAATCGACGGGAATCAAAGGCTATTCAATGCAGAACAATTTCGTTATCTCCCATGGAAAAATTAGCATTGCAAGTAAACCAGATTTTTCGAGACCAAAAGAAAAAAAGAAAACATTCAGTTCCGGAATTCTGGTTTCGATAATAATGTATAGTTACTTGTAAAGAAACACAAATGTTACAATTCACTTGTTGTTATTTTCACCATGAATTAAACTTGTCTTACTTATCTTTTTATCACTTAGCGTTACTTATTTCCTCTTATCACATGATTCAAACAATACTATACATTGATAATAATCATTATTGCAAAATGCGAATTTTTTTTTCTTCATAAAATTACAATTGCACCATAATATCGTAAAAAAATCGTTAATCCCATGACATAATCGATTATCTCATCTGAATTTAAAGAAACAGTTTCCAATTTTTTCATTAAAAGTTCACACGATTACGCGATTCACAAATAGAAATTGAAAAAAAAAACAAAAATTTCAAACATTATTATAAAACGCTATGAACAAATTGAGGCCAATTAAAGAAAACAATTAATCATTAATTATAAAATAGTTTTGGAAATAGAAGAAAATTTAATTTACGTTAATTTATATCAATTTTTTAATATTAATCATGAATTAGGTATATAAATAATTAGTAATTAAATCAAAATAATTTATTAATAATTAAATCATTAACAATTGTACCAATATTTATATTAATAATCCAATGATTAATAAATAATTATATTACCAATTATATAAATAATTATATTAAAAATAAATTAATATCAGTTAATATTAATATAAATTTCGCATCAATTTTTTGAAGTGAATAAATTTAAAATGCAATTAATGCAAAAATTGAACAAAATTGCAATGAATTTTAATCACATTCTTTTTTAAGGTCCAATTTAAATACAAAGAATTTCACATTAATTATGTGTTTTGCATAAAAATGCAATATATATAATTTTGACATTTAATAAACACTTTGGATAATAAACACTAGTCATCATCATTTAAAATTTTTCAAACGGCCCTAAACTAGTTTTTTTTAAACAAAAAGAAAGACAAAAAAAAGAAGAAAAGAAAGAATTCGATACTATACACATATATAGAATATTATGTTGCCTATTAGCACTTTATTTATAAGCATGTTCCAGAACGGCTAGCGATCTTTAGGGAATTCACGGGCTTGGACAATTTATGGCGTATAAAACATTATATACTTTTTTTTTATTTTCCCCCCCAAAAAGATTTATATGCG